ACCATCTGAAATATGAAGAGGAACTCTCTGAGAGAGGGCAAAAGTAACTTTCAGGTAAATGACTGGTCCTACTGATCCCAACAAAGAGGGCCCACTGTGTAGCCAGAGCTGATTTTGGTGGAAAGATTGAGCTAGTTAAGTGCTTCTGTTGTCCAACAAGCTATTAGAGCACACTTTAAAAAAAAGAAAACTGGCTTATAATATCTTTCTTAAGTGTCTAGCAGTTAAAAACAAAGCATTCTATGAAAAAAAGATTACTTTCGAAACCTTGAAAACAGGAGGACCATTAGGGAAAATTGCGCACATATGTAGTATTTTGTTGTTACTATGACTTCTTGGTCCCTTGCCACTTCATTTTGAGTTTTAAAAAAAACAATGAGGGGAATCACATTGATGATAAATCAAAATCTTAATTGAAATGGATGTGGGATACCACCACAAAAGATACTTAAGATAAAAAACTGAAAAGTATTTCAGTGAGCAAATAATGGAAAAGTGTGCAAAAACAGTCAAAATGCTGTAACTTTTGAAGTGAATGAATGTCCTTCCCACCAGCTCAGTGATCTATGGAAGGATGGTTTACATATGTACTTGTTACCAAAAATAAAATAATCCATGTAAGCAAACACACAACGAAGAGCTAAAATATTCTCCACCTTCCCAGGGAGAGCCTTCTCTAATCCTCCCCTTCTCCAGACATCTCATCTCTCAGACTCCACAACACTCAATGTCCCCTCAGGTGGATCTAAATGAGATCTGGCAAAGCCAGGATCAGTGGTGTCGTCCATCCAAATCAACTTTTTCATGGGAGCTTTACTTCAATCCCTGAGAGAAGTTGCATCTTCACTATTAAACTGCATGGCAGAGTTCAGCATACACAATGGAATTCCTCAAGCATTACAAAAGAAGAGAGTGAAAAAAATACAGTCTTTAGAAGAAATGGGAACGGACTGTCGGTGGGTGCTCTTGCTAAAGAAAAAAAATCCCCTGAGTGTAAATAAAATAAAAGATCACTGTTTAAGAAGGTAAGTCAGCTGGTGTGAGTGATAGCTAAGACTGACGGCAGCTGTGATGAGAAGAGTCAAAGGGTCCTGTGCACATTCACTCTCTCTCGGGTAGAGAGAGGAGCAAGGGGAAGCACAGGAAGAGGGGAGGGGGGCAGGTGAAACGACAAGGGTCAAGCCAGTAACAGAAATGTGACGATGGTGCTGAGTCCAGAGATCTAAAGAAGGCTCAAGGCAGGTCCTGACTCCTGCACTGACCCAGTGCTGGCGTGTCCCCCCTAGCTGCTCTCTGAAACAGGCGCAGGTTCAGTTCATTAACTCACTTTAAATGAGAATGATCTGATCTTGTTTTTCCCAAAAGCACACAAGTTCAGATCTGTGAAAATTAGAGAGAAAAAAACTCTGGGTCGGTGCTGATAATGCCTGACCTAAAACTGTACAGCTTGAGACAGACATGAAAAGTTGAAAGCAGTGCATGTTTGTGCATACTTGTTATGTTCAGACAAAACTTCTAACCACAAAATGCATAGCTATAAAACATCAGTCTGTACCTGACAAATGTCTTAAATAAAGGCCAGGAACCAGAATCAAACAACCTGAACCTGATCGTTAACCTGGCTGGCACCGAGATCCAAAATCTGCCCGCCTCTCTGCCTTTTGCAGGAGTTTTTCAACGTATCTTTATTATTTGAATTCTTAGCTCCGAAAGGTGGGGACTATTATACTTAGAGTGTGATGCACAGATGAGACATACTGTACCTCTCCATGTTAGTGTGTCACTCACAGCACACGTGCTGACTTGTCCAATAACAGTAAAGTTACTCTTGAGGAAATACTTCAGTTCCATTTTTTTTTCTGCCTGTCTTACAGAAAGGAAGCTCATATCTACAAATATGTCTGCTCCTGCCGACCATCTGGTAAAGCAGTTATGTTTGTCTGGCTCTCTATTGATTCACTGAACGTTGTTCTCTTTTCCCATCAGCTATCTCACCTGTGAGGCTACTTATACTTGAAGCAGTTGGTGCAGTGGGTTCAAATACCACAAACTGATTAGTCAGCCTTTTTCCCTCATAAAGTCAAATTAAAAAACATTCAAAACTTTAACTTGGTGATAATTGATGGTGGTGTCTGTGTCTAATTTTACACAAATATCTAAATAAATGCATATATCCGCATGGGCTTGAGCAATAATTCCAAGCTCTTGGACTTCTGCAGTACTCCAATTACACAAACATAAAATCAAGACAACCTATTGACCCGAATGCCTAAAATGTATTTGGGTTATATTTGTTTTTTTGTGCCAGGATGTTGTTTTTTCTTTCTTCCTCTCCTTTTTGTTTGCGTAACATGTCTCAAGTCTTGGTTTTCAACATAAGAGGAGAGACAAAAAGAAAAACACAAAAACAAAGAAAGACGTTTTAAACAATAATTGTGAAACAATACAAAGCAGTACTCTGAACCAGATGAAGGAAAACAAAACAACAAAAAAAGAGTTTTGAGACCAACATCAATTTACTCAATTTTGTCTTCCTAACTAAATTATTTACAGCTTGGGAAGAAAGACAACAAATCTATTTGTCCTCGTGTAGATGTTGGATGTAACACAAATGGTGTGAAATCATATCTCTCCCTGAACCAAAAATTTTAGTTCTTGTTCTAAGGATATAAATATATTTTATATTTTATATTAAGAAAAACATAGAACATGAGCGCTGATAATGACTACTTACATAAACAAAAATGAATTCATATCCATCTTGCATCCTTCTCTGAGCTCTTTTCAGCAAAAATCCAAATCTGATGTTTGTTCTTGTTTTACTAAAGCATGTCATCTTTTTCAATACTCTCTCTTACAGTATTATCTCCTCACTTCATCTGCAGCATCGGTTTTAGCATAACTTTATTTTTACAGCAAATGGGGCTGAAGAATAGTAAAAGAGATCTTATTCAGAGCAAGTAGAGCTTAACTTTATTTTGATTAAGCTAAACACAGCATTTTGTTTTTGATAAGGTGTCTTAGATTATAAATAAAACCAATCTATATATGGATGCCTGAGGCTGGTCACAACATGCACCATCATCAATTTAAACATATAATCCCTTAAGAGGTACAATACTACGAACACCAAACATTATACACCATTTTCTAATTTATAACAAAACTAGGCAAAATGTTGTACATATACTAAAGGAATTACAGTAGAAATGTCATACCTAAGTGTATGAGAAGATTATTATAACTCGGAAGAAATGTTATCTCTGTGAAGTGTTTAATGGAAAAAACTGACTGACTTTTTGTCAAATATGTATTTAAACTTTTCTCTTAGGTGTATTTTAGGTCATGCACAGTTAGATACACAACCATTTTTTCTGTAACCCAAAGCAACCCTATTTTTCCAAAGCAATACAAATAATGTAGGTCATCAATGTCAACTGGATCTTATCCTAAAATAAATGGACTGCAATAATGAAGACCACTCATTTGGTCAAAGAATATTCTGTCCTATCAATTAAACAGCACAACAGACTTCAAATGTGTCCAAGTTTTGCATCAAGTTTAATAAAGACCAGGCTAAATTGATCTGTGACTGAGCAAACCTTTACCCTCACGTGTTTCCTAAAATAGCTTGTGAGAAAAGAGGGTCTGTTGTGTGGGGCTGTCACAGACCCTTTGAGCAGGAGAAGATGGGCTCCCTCTCATAGCCTTCCCAGTGACTACAGCATGCACAAAGATAAAGCATGTCAGATGCAATTGCCATAGACACACAGTACCAATGACATCATTCTGTGGACAAGTGACCCCTGAGCAGTGTGAAGAGTGAGAGCAAACGAGAGGAACGTGTGGAAGAGTACACAGACCCAGGAACCTCTACATGCTCTGAGCACACAGAGAAAAGCAGCATGCGCAATGATGTCAGCTGTTTTCCCATAGAGGGACTATGGGAAAAACTAAGGTGCAGAAAATAAAGCCACCCTTTTAACATCTTTAAGGCAGATTGGCATATTGATTAATCTTTTTTAGATATCTTATTCTTCAAACGCATAGTCTATATGAAATTTGATGTGCAGTACACTGTTATATATTGATGGGCCGTACACTGTTATATATATATTTATATATATATACAGAAGTGTGTGTTTTTTTTTAAAACGTGTTAATGCTTAACATAGTGTATAGAAGAAAAATACATTTAGTTGTGTGAAATTTAAAAAGAGAAAAGAAGAGCACAACACACTGTATGACATAAGTACATCCTGACAATTACACTAACACACAAATGCCTTGCTAAACTGAGAAAAACAAAATCATTTTCATATTCACTCAGAATGGCTCCATAAACGTTTTTCAAATGCCTTTATGGAGGTTGCCATCTGTTGGTGATAATGAATCTTGCATGTCTACAACTTGCACCACATTCAATACTTGCACGAAACAATAAAAACTATTGTTGATATTCTATATGTAAAAGTGTGTAAGATGTGGTATACAAAACATATCCAAATGAAAAAAATCCCGCTGATTAGCATGGTCATGTAACATTTCTATATTTCCAGCTAAGTGAATGTGTGCCAGTTGCACTTAATGGAGAACTAAATTGACACACTATAGTTCACACTGAATCAGGTAAACTTTTTGGATTGCTCATTTGGATGGTTTTATTAGTATACTACAGTTTTAGGCTATATTTTATCTACAGAATGCAGGGAAATTATGCTACTAATACATGACTTGCAATAAAAAAGTATAGAGATGTTAAGTTGGTCACACAACAAAAATGGTCTGTTTAGCCTATTCATAAATAATTTATTTTATGGGATATTTATATTTCAGACATTATTCTTTCTTGTTGTTAAAATTACTTAAAATATATATTTTCATTTTGAATTATGCAGATCCCCACCGTCTAAACGTCGTGATGTAATCGACTGGAACTTCATCTCGAATATCACAGAGCGGCTTTTTTCACTTGCGCACTTTCACACACTGCGCCACTGTGTTCCTCCGCTGTACAACCATTTGCTAGCGTTTTGTACTGCATTGTTGGGGGGTGAAATGCATGGCTTTAAAACAGCATATTAGATTTATGATATGCATTTTATAATCGATTATTTGAACATGGCCAATTACCACATGCATTACGAGTCTACAGATGTTTCCTTGAAATGGCGATGCTCGGATCTAGTTTCTTCCAAAAACGAGTTCCACCCTACTCGCCATTTTATGTTTTATAGCTGCTTTGTTGGAACGAGGAAACCAGCTACAACCTGAAAATAGCGCGAAAATTTTCCATGAAACGTAGTAATAGTAACAACGTCATCATTTTTTAATTTTATTTAGTTCCATACTTACTATTACATTAGCACACATTTTTTAATTTTGTGCTTTATGGAGTAGGAAGCCCACAGATTAGACAAGCTAACCGGTCCTTGCTTCTGAGACAACGTGTTAGCTCTCTGCAAACGAGGAAGGCGAAAGTCGGCTGTAATTTTTCCCTGATATCTATTATCTACCAGAAGACACATTGACGACCACCGTGCAAGACACGAAAACTGAGGAGATGGCGAGCTCGGTGGGAAATGTGGCTGACAGCACAGGTTGGTTGCTTTTTATCAATAGCAGCTAGTAGTTTGAAGTGACTAGCATGGTGGGAGAACAACAAGCTAGTTATCATGCGATGTTTGATGCGATTGAGCATGTATCTTTTTGAGTTAGCCTAATTAAAACCAGATAAAAATAAGTACGATGAACATTGGGAAACAGCATCTTTGCCTGTTTTTTAGTACTGAAGTACATTTGTGTACTATTGCTTTAAAATTGACACTTAACGTGTCTACTGAAATAAAGGTAACGTTTAGCATCAATTGCCAAATTTGTTATTAGTGATCCGCGGATGTTCTCCTGACACAAACTGTGTGCTATGCCCTGAAATGTCACGGTTGTGCTGTGGTATTTTATACGAAATGGCTTGGAATTTTGTAAACTAGTTACACCATGGATGCAGATGTCGTTGAAATATGATAGTTTTCAGAAAATATTTCAAGTGAAGCAAGCCGCATTTCTAGAAAATGGCCGCGAGCTTCTCTGTATTATGGCCTCCGGTACACGGGCCCTGCGGCGTCCAGCTCATAGCACCGAACGTATACTCATTTCCACTCGGTGCAGATGCTGCAGATGTTTAATGATTGTTTTTTTCCCCCTTTTAACACTGCCTCCGAATAATCCCGAAGTGGTACTTATACCCTATTGCGGTCAGTGAAAGCTGTTCACCCGATTATCAGTTCGAATAATTCTGTCGTTATCGAAGGTATTCCTCGATAATGCATCAAAGCTATGTTACGCAATTGTTCTGAAAGGGTGACCTATGACAAACCATCCTTAACATTAAATACCCATATTCGGTAAGTATTGTGATGATCTATATTTAAACTCCTCCTAAATAAAATAAGATGAGATCAGTGGTGTAAACCATACCACCACTCTTGAACCGTTGAATACAGACTAATTACATTTACTGATGAGAATGTTAGAGATTCAGTGCATTAAAGTTCTCATCTGCTAGTAATTATTGCTATAACTAAATAAATAAAAAATGGGACAAAAGCCAATGTACTAACATATTTAAAGTTAGTTGTAATGGTGAGCTGTTGTAATGTCATTTGAACACACCTTACAGTAGGAGCCTGATTTACTGCATTCTTTTTGCTGTAAATCAAGTCTTTCATTTTTCCTCCCTTGACCAAACCCTTTTGCAACACTCAGGCCATTTATCACTCAAACGGCCATCCAAATTATTGACTTGATGAGCACTTTTTACTTGACGAATAAGATAACTTCTAGGGAAGGGTCAACGCCAAGATGTTCGATTGGTTATTTTGGTGTTATTTACAAATGTGCATGGATTCATTGGGTAGGAATATCCCCAAAGGCTTTAGTGATCCTGCCTAAACTGCTTAATAGTTGTATCATTTAAGATGTGCCCAAATGTGCTAAAATATTTGGACTAATTTGACTACATGTCTGTATGTAAACTAGAAAAAGATGATGTGGGAAAAAAATGGGCCATCTAATTTTTAATTGCATATGGTAGGGTAAATGAATTAATATTCTGGTTTATGTGAAAGAAGAATTATGATGAAGATGTTAATATTTCCCAGCATTACCCATTCTTTCATCTTGTTTTGTTATCCTTTGTTTTTGTTCATTGCTTTGTTTTGTGTCAAGTTCAGATATGTTAGTCATTGTTCATTTAATGCAGCATTTTCATTTTTATTTTGTTTTCTGTTTTCATTTGTCAAATTTTAATTTCTTCCATCACTTCTAACATGTTGTTTTCCCCCCTCCTTGGCATGTGTTGGTGCTCCAGAACCAACAAAACGTATGCTTTCCTTCCAAGGGTTGGCTGAGCTGGCGCACCGGGAGTATCAATCCGGGGATTTTGAGGCAGCTGAGCGCCACTGCATGCAGCTGTGGAGACAGGAGCCTGATAACACAGGCGTGTTGCTGCTCCTATCATCCATCCACTTCCAGTGCAGAAGACTTGACAGGTGAAGTGGGGATAGGTCATGGGCAACAGGAAAATCACTTGGTTTCAAAGTAACACAAAATAATGCTCATCTAGACTTGAAGTTCTCGGTTACAACTTAGTTTTTTCCAACGTGTCTCTCCATTTTTTGGGATTTTATATGCTCAATTATGACAAATTTCCTTAATCATTGTTAAGTTCCTCCCCAAACTTCGCAAATTCCAATGTTAGAAGTCTTGTCTTGTTACCTCATCGTGTTGACCATTTGAAGTAAAATGTCGGCACGAGACACCAAAATAATTTTAACGTTTATTTTTTGTGTTGAATTCACCATTAAATCATAAAGAAGATGTTCACACAGATGCTTATCTTTCAGTTCACAATAATTGCAATACCAAGTGTCCGATTCTTAAAAGAATTTAATGATGTTGAGAGATGTAACTGTTGTGTTGCTATTGTGGCCCCACAGGTCTGCTCATTTTAGCACCTTGGCCATCAAACAGAACCCAATGCTTGCAGAGGCCTACTCAAATCTGGGGAATGTGTACAAGGAGCGCGGACAGCTGCAGGAGGCTATAGAGCATTATCGCCATGCTCTGAGACTGAAGCCAGACTTTATTGATGGATACATCAACCTGGCAGCAGCTCTGGTGGCTGCAGGAGACATGGAGGGAGCAGTGCAGGCCTACGTGTCTGCTCTCCAGTATAACCCGGTCAGTGCTAAACTGTATGTTACAGTCTTGAATTGGCATCAGTTTACTTTTCGAGTTGTAATATTTATATGTATATATATTTTGCTTTGCAGGATCTATATTGTGTGCGTAGTGACCTTGGCAATTTGCTTAAAGCCCTCGGGCGTTTGGAAGAGGCTAAGGTATGTCACATCAGGTTAATATTCTTATAGATGTGGTGTTCATGTTTTTGTTGTTTTTTTTTCTTCTATGTGTGTATAATTCTTTCTCTTTAAGTACCTACAAAGATCATAGATATTTTTTAATTGATCAAGTCCCTTCAGCTCAACCCTTAATGGAAATGTTAAAAACAGAAAATGGTAGAATCTTTATTCTGAGAGTTCTTAGAGCCTTGAGCTTCTCACTGCTTTTTAGCAATCCCCTTTTGAAAATTTCTGACTGGATTGAGTCAACAACCTATGACGCAATCAGTTTTTCTGATTATTATTCTTTTAATTAGCTTTTTTTATCATACCACATACCAAATTCTGTTGATTACTTTTAGATAGCTCTGTTTTTCTTTTTCAGTTTAGTATTCTTCCTTTTGTTTCTTCCCCCTGTCACTTGTAATCCCACAGTCCTTTGCTGTACTGACCTTTTATCAGAGGTCTGCCCCTCCCCTTTCAGGAAGAAAGGCTGGAGTTTAGAGATTTACACAGCTTATCAAACCTCGGCCCTGCATTTTCATATAGTCTACCCTGGAGGGAAAATGCTGGCTCGGTCTTTTAAGCAAATATGAACTGATGAGAAACTAGTTTATATTTGAAGTGCAAAAGATAAGATGGTTTCTAACCTAACTGCTTAACTCCTGCATTGTACATAAAGTGCCCAGTGTTTTGCTAATTTTGCTGTCAGTACAGTCACTGCCAATGTGGCTTGTTGTTTTCCCCCTTCCAGGAGTTACAATTTCAATTTGTGACTTTTAAATATCATGTTTATTACAGGGGGCTTCCTTGGTTGGGTCAAATCTGGAGAAATGGAGTTTTCCTGCTGGTTACAGGCCATCTTATTTCGTGCTAGAGGGGGGTAAAGGAGTGTGGTGGAGCATTAGGGTCCCACAAGCTCTCCAGCTCTGTTGCTCTGCCCCCCCGCGCGCTTGCTGAGGACTGGTGGAGAGTGCGCGCTCAGAGCTGTCTTCCTGACCATTTGACCTGGTCCAGTTCAATCTCAGATGCACAGTGCTGACCACCCATTAGCAGTTAACAGTTACCATACTATGTTTTGACCTGGTGGTTATCCCTCCTGATATCCACGATAATCTCTCAAATTGCTTACTTTTTAAAACATTTTGGCTTTAGAAGGTTCTCCACTGCCTTACTGTGGTCAAAGGGGTGTCAGGCAGACAGCTCACTATCTGTACTCCACCGCCTGCGCAGATGCTGGGTTAGAAAAAGACAGAAGCACGCGCGGCAGCAGCGATGACCTCTTTATTTCAGAACTGTGGAGGCTTCTAGATACAAGTAATTCAACCACAGACTTTTTTTCCTTACACATTGGCCAGGATTCAAGAAAGCAGGCCAGGATAAAGAAATCAAAGTTTTAAAGATATTTCATGAAAATGCTAGAATGAAAGACTGATTAATATTTCTTCCCTTCTCCTTCAAATATGTAATTTTATTCCTAAAGAAGTGGGATCAGTTCATTTGGGCAAGATCAAGCCAGTAACTGCCCTCCTGTAGTTTGATTTGAAACCTGAATTGAAGGACAACTGGAAGTCTGTCCATATGCCACAGATAAACTACGCATCAAAGCCTTTCTTCCCTCCCAGTTCCCCTGAAAGCATTCCCTTTGTTTTCTTTGACAAAAAGACATTCATTGCATGACTGACAACTGAGGATAGTTTAATAGTTTTTATGTTTGTTATGATTTGGTGTTTTATTTCCATATTTTAAAAATAATGTATTGTTTGAAAACTTTTACTAACGTTCTTGTGTTCTGATTTTGTCTCTTTTGGTTTTTTCCACAACTGATATTGTGATTTAGAAGGTTTCAGGTGGGTGACACTATTCCTGCGTAGGTGCCTGGCGGAAAGGAACACTAGGGCAGCCTCAGTCCTCTCCTCTTCTTCCAGCCAGCCGTGACCACCACTCTGACAAAGTCCAAAAATATGGTAACGGGTTTGTAACTGCCAACAAAAGAAAAACCACCTCACTTCATGCTTGAGCTCCTCTGTCTTGTGGCTTCCTTTTGAAGAACAAGAAAAAAAAAGAAAAAAGTAACGTAACAGATTACAGTAAGCATTTCCTAAAATATGCTATACTAATTACCCAATTTGTATTAAGTATAAGAAACTGGAATCTATAATCATGAAAAACAAGTAAGAACCCTCTAACTCTTTCATGTTGGTTATTTTTCCTGTTTTGTTTTGTTTTTTCCCTTCTTTATTTGGAGTTGCAGCGTTCTGATGATGATGCAGCTAGTGCGCTGTGAGTCTGCAGTAACGCAGGGGCTGCGCAGCGTTATCCTTCAGTCAACGAAAATGGCGGAACGCGCACGCATGCAACCCCTCACCCCTTTACTCCTTTTGGCCTGTTGGTTGCGGACCTCTCCCTGAACAGAAATCAGCCTCGCTCCCAAGTGCACCCAAATCTCAGATACAATTGGCTCTTCAAATCACATTCGTCTTCCACAGTAGATTTATGCGGAGTGTTCCCGTTCAAAAAACAAATTCTAAATCTTTTGCCACTAGTACATGTTGCCCCACCCCTTCTCCTGAGATAACGTGGGTGCCCAGAGTGTGCGAGTCTGGTGCTGCAAACGCTCTGCCAGGGGTTGTTGGTCTGCAGCTGTTTCACCAGGCCATTCAGCAAGCGCAGCAGCGAGTAATCACTTTGCCAGGAGCAAGGTCATGCGGTGTTTATTGGTGCATTGTCGTTGTGGTGGGAGTTCCACTCGACGCGCTGGCGTTTGTAGCGCATGCATTACAGGGACCATCACCTGCACAGAGCGCCCAACATCCAAGGTTGTGAGTAGACATTTCAACATAGATGGTGGCTGTCATGCTGTTTTTAATGATAGTATTATTTTAATTATAGTACTTTCTTAATAGAGAGGAAGGGTCAGTGGTCAACCACACTGATGGTGACACAGTTAGAGGGTATTTCTTCATAGGACATCTTCACAATTTGAGATGATGTGGTCATAACTGCCGGATGAGGGCCTGTGTGAGGGTGCTGGTTGGATCCGCGCAGCGTAGGAAAAAGCACAGCAGCTTTGCGCGGCAGACTTGCGCCAGCGAGCCCATGCTGTAGACTCACTTTTTGTCATCACGGGGAATTGTCACTAATTTTGTTTTCTCTGCCCTTTTTGTTTTCTTACTCTTATTCTCAATCTTCTATTTGTTTTTATTTTACTACCCCCCTTTCCTCTCTACATACTACCTCCCATTCTACCTCTTGTCCTCCTTTCCTGTGGTTTTCATTGTAAACCCGCTGAAGGCTTGTTACCTGAAAGCCATTGAGACTCAGCCCAACTTTGCAGTGGCTTGGAGCAACTTAGGTTGTGTATTCAATGCCCAGGGAGAAATATGGCTTGCCATACACCATTTTGAAAAGGTAAGTTGAGCAATTCGTAGCATTTTCCCTCAGTTCTCTGCTTTGGCATGTTTTACTATATTCTTGTGTTAAATTCTTCATTTTGTGTTTATAGGCAGTGACTCTGGATCCAAATTTTCTCGACGCATACATCAACTTGGGCAACGTTTTGAAAGAGGCCCGCATCTTTGACAGGTGAGATTATTGTGACACATTGTGAAAACCTGTCCAACTCCTCGTCTTTAGGTACACACCCTACCACACAGCATTTGAGAATAGAATAATGAATTAACATTCTAGTACATTCTCAAGTCACACCTTTGTTGATTTTTTTTTCTTTTTTTTTTTTAAAAAACTTTATATTGGTGTCATTTTAAGGCAGGTTAGATGTACTGCACTTACAACTACTGTTGCTTTTAGCACTAAAAACATGGACTTGTTTAAAGCATGAATTCTGCTGAAATAGTTCTACATCACACTTTTAGTGGTGCTTATATGTTGTGATGAGTTGATTTTAAGATTGATTTTGAGAATAACCATATTCATAACTTTTGCTTGCAGAGCTGTGGCTGGATACTTGAGAGCCTTGAGTCTCAGCCCCAACCATGCAGTTGTCCATGGAAACCTGGCCTGCGTCTACTATGAGCAGGGTCTCATTGACCTGGCCATTGACACCTACCGCCGTGCGATTGAATTGCAGCCCCACTTTCCTGATGCATATTGCAATTTGGCAAATGCCCTAAAGGAGAAAGGCAATGTAATGTGCACTTTTATGTCTAAAAAAATCTCAGTTAATTAAAGTCAGTGAATTATTTACCAGTGTCACTTTTAAATGATCTTATCCAGGTGTCGGAGGCAGAAGAGTGCTACAACACAGCTTTGCGTTTGTGCCCGACTCATGCTGACTCCCTTAACAACTTGGCCAATATAAAGCGTGAGCAGGGCAACATTGAGGAGGCAGTTCAGCTCTACAGAAAAGCCTTGGAGGTTAGTCAAGATTAGGAAATCTTTTGTCCGACATTCTGTTATCAGTCTGCATGCTGTAGGTGTGAGCATATTAACTTTTTTTCTAAATAATTTATTATTTTATGTTTTGTAGGTGTTCCCAGAGTTTGCAGCTGCTCACTCTAACCTGGCCAGTGTCCTACAGCAACAGGGGAAGCTGCAAGAAGCCCTCATGCATTACAAGGAGGCTATAAGGTCTGTAACTATTAACATGCAATACTCTTAGGTGTCCAGACATCATTTGTGTTTTTTGTCTGACACTTAATGAATGGCCAATTAAACTGAACCGCCCTCCCTCAGAATCAGCCCCACCTTTGCTGATGCTTATTCCAACATGGGCAATACACTGAAGGAGATGCAGGATGTACAGGGAGCGCTGCAGTGCTACACCCGTGCCATCCAGATAAACCCAGCTTTCGCTGATGCGCACAGCAATTTGGCCTCAATTCACAAGGTACAAGTGGTTTTGCTTTTCGTTTGCATGTTATTTTAAGAGTTTAAAGTCATCACATTCTTTACTCTGTACTTTGAAGGTAGATAACGATATACATTTTTAATCTAGGATTCTGGAAACATCCCAGAAGCCATTGCCTCTTATCGTACAGCCCTGAAACTCAAGCCAGACTTCCCTGATGCTTATTGCAACTTGGCACATTGCTTACAGGTTTGTTGAAGGACTTATTACTTTTTTTCTTTCAAAGAATAAACAGTTTTTTGACACTCCATATCCCGTGAACACTCTAAATAAGCACAGTGCTAACCTTTTGTATATTCCTTTCACTCCTCCAGATTGTGTGTGATTGGACAGATTATGATGAGCGGATGAAAAAACTAGTGAGCATTGTGGCTGACCAGCTGGAAAAGAACCGCTTGCCCTCAGTTCACCCACACCACAGCATGCTGTATCCACTGTCCCACAATTTCCGCAAAGCCATCGCTGAACGCCATGGGAACCTATGCCTGGACAAGGTACACGCACTGATCAAAGCAAGTAATCTTTAATTTACATTTTTTGAGTTTTATAAGGTGACTGGTGATGGCAGTCACTGTCTGCTGGGTTATGGGGAAGGTAAGGGATGAGCAACATGCTCAAAAGATTTCCTATGTCTAAAAAAAAAAAAAAGCCAAACAGCTGCTGGTGAGGGGTTGCCTATGCAAGCTATAGGGAGAGGGTTTTACACAAGAATGATCATTAAATTTAGCTTAAATTTAGCTGAAATTGAAATGTTTTTTTTTGTGTAAGTTTAACTTTTCTCATGTCAAAATATTTCTTACATCTTTACCCCACAGATTAATGCACTGCATAAACCTGCTTTTGAGCACCCCAAGGATCTGAAGGCCAGTAGTGGGCGACTGCGTATTGGCTACGTCAGCTCTGACTTTGGGAACCACCCAACTTCCCACCTGATGCAGTCCATTCCTGGAATGCACAATCCTGAGAAATTTGAGGTTGGTGAATTATACGCCAGCATGTATATTCTGCTTGTTATGAGGTGGCCGTTGCATTGAAAGAACGGTTTACTTATATCTTCTACTTCCCTTTTTTCCCTCAAGGTGTTCTGCTATGCCCTCAGCCCTGATGACAGCACTAACTTCCGTGTGAAAGTGGTAGCAGAAGCTCATCATTTCACAGACCTCTCTCAGGTAACATTTCTGTAAAAGTGGCAGTCTAAAAGATAGTTATGGGTTTAATTGGTGGGGGTATGTAGATTTTTGGCAATTTGTAAAAGTAAAAAAATGTTCCTGTTTGAAAGCCCTTCGGATAATATAGCCTTGAACTTTTAACTTTATTAACAATTGCAAATTATACCTTGGATCCCAAAAATGCCAGTGATTTATATAGAAACTTTTCTATCAATTCCAGATCCCTTGCAATGGCAAAGCTGCTGATCGAATTTACCAAGATGGAGTCCACATTCTAGTTAACATGAACGGGTACACTAAGGGAGCCCGAAACGAGCTGTTTGCTCTTCGTCCGGCTCCCATTCAGGTGAGCTTTTCATGTAGTCTTATGGAAACAAATTTCAGCACAATTCTGGTCGGTGTTCAGTCTGGTGATTATAGAGTGTCACATAGTTGCTTAAAAGATTCCACAAGTAGATCTCTTTCTATATTCTACAGGCTATGTGGCTTGGTTACCCTGGAACCAGTGGTGCTCCCTTCATGGATTATATAATTAGTGACAAGGAAACATCGCCTGTGGATGTTGCTGAACAGTACTCTGAGAAGCTCGCCTACATGCCCCATACTTTCTTCATTGGAGATCATGCTAACATGTTCCCTCACCTCAAGGTTAGTCCACCCTTTCTTGTTGCTGAGTGCTTCTATTTTTATCATATACTCTCATTATTAAAAGTTAAAGGAACTTGATTTAAAAAAAAAACAAAAAAACAAATGAGGTTTTAATAGTTCTTTCTGACCCTCAGAAAAAGGCAGTGATCGATTTCAAGTCAAATGGACACATCTTTGACAACCGCATAGTTCTTAACGGGATTGATCTGAAAGCCTTCTTGGACAGTTTGCCAGATGTCAAAGTTATTAAGGTGAGGAAGGAATACTAATCCTACAGATTTAAAGTGCTAAAGGATTGTTCATATGGTACATCTCAGTGGAGCACTACACCCAAAGATTTTGACAAACTGTTGGCATAGACTGTTGACTAATTTTTACAATAAAACTGTTCTGTGACTAGATGAAATGTGACAACAACCAAGAAGCTGCTGGGGACACAAATGGAGCTCTGTCTATGCCCGTTATCCCCATGAACACAGCAGCTGAGGCGATCATCAACATGATAAATCAGGGCCAAATCCAGGTCACAATCAACAGCTTCACAGTCAGCAATGGTCTGGCCACAACACAGGTAGGTGTAGCTCATATGTATTGACATTGACAAAAGGTGAATTTCAAAGCAGATGTAGGCAGAATATATGTGTGATGGCATCGGAGCTCAACCAGTTTGTAGAGCTAATGTAGCATAAAATATTCACACTTTGGTTTAAAATTTCAGATCAATAACAAAGCTGCAACTGGGGAGGAAGTACCACGGACTATCGTGGTTACAACCCGCTCCCAGTATGGTCTCCCAGAGGACTCCATCGTCTACTGCAACTTCAACCAGCTCTACAAGATTGACCCCCCCACCCTTCAAATGTGGGCCAATGTAAGCGAAACACTGACAGTAATACCAAATGTTCATGCATCTCTTTCCTTTTTCAAGAATCATGTATTTGTCATTTCGTAAGAACTATTTTATTAAACTTTTTGTTTCTGCATTTGCTGCAGATCCTGAAACGTGTGCCCAACAGTGTGTTGTGGCTTCTTCGTTTCCCGGCGGTTGGTGAACCCAACATACAGCAATACGCTCAGAACCTGGGTCTGCTTGCCTCTCGCATCATTTTCTCTCCAGTCGCTCCCAAGGAAGAGCATGTGAGAAGAGGCCAGCTGGCTGATGTGTGCCTCGACACTCCTCTGTGCAACGGTCACACTACAGGCATGGATGTTCTCTGGGCTGGAACTCCCATGGTAACCATGCCTGGTGAGTAATTACAGAGAGACCTGCTTCCAGTCTTATTCAAACAAAGAAAGCCAGTTTGATAAAACAAAACCCTGTATACAGATAGTGAGGCTTGAAAGGCATCTACTAAACAAGTGTTACAGTAGAATCTCTACTTCCAATTGCCAAAAAATACGAATTTCCCAACATAGGAAGTGAAATTCAATCAAATATTTGACTACACCCAAAGTGAATTTCCAATTTATGACGTGTCAGGCTGGGCTCAAAACAGGACTGAAGCGCAGAATTTTGACAAAAATCTGGATTTTAATTAAACAAGAATGCACTCGCAGGATGTGGAAGGCAAGGTGAAAAGTGCAAAGTAATAATCACTCGAAATTGAGGATGTCAAAGGCTAATAAATTACCAAATAACACTCACTCACAAGGAGGATGAAAAAACCATGGAGTACAAAATAATATTTGTTCATATCAGGGAAAACAAGATTTGTGTATCATTAATCGATGGGACGAAACACACTGGCACCCGACAAGGGGAGGTGAAGGCTACGTATCAAACACACGAGGGGAAGGGAACTGCAGGTGAACGCAATCAGTGATCAGGTTAGACTATCAGACAGGTGACACACAGGGAAGTGCAAGTGACCTGAAAAGTAAAACGGGGAATTACAAGACAACTTGACAAAAACCCAACTTGAGCTCACCGCTGTGTGAAGTCAAATAATATAATTTATACAAGTAAATACGCCAAGTTAGTTTAAAGTTCTCATAGTGAAAGTCACACACAAACCCCTCTACCTCCACACCGGCCATCTCCTGCATCGCCAAGCCTACACCTCCTTTCGCCAACAAGTGCCAATAAAAAAACACTTTTTATTAATTATTTCTTTATAATTTATTTATTTTTACATCTCTCTTCTATAATGCATTTGTTTCATTGCTATGTGTAATTATTTGCAGTATTTATTAAGGAGTTATCATAGGTTTTTGGGCTGTGGAACGAATTACAGTTTATTCTTATGGGAATATTTGAACAAAAAGTAGGTCCCGGAACTAATTAAACTCGTATGTCGAGGTTGTACTGTACATGGAAAGTGTTTTTAAAAAATGTTTTAATTTTTTTTTATGAAGGAGAGACGCTGGCTTCCCGGGTGGCTGCTTCACAACTAAGGTGTTTGGGCTGTCCTGAGCTTATTGCCCAAAGTCGCCAGGACTATGAGGACATTGCAGTAAAACTGGGCTCTGACATGGAATAGTAAGTAGACACTGAACTGGTGACCTCTTTCCTTTTTCTCCTGTGAACTTTCATACCTGATGGGCTCTTTTTCTCTTGCAGCCTGAAGCTGATCAGAGCACGTGTTTGGAAACAGAGAATCTGCAGCCCACTTTTCAACACCAAACAGTACACAATTGACCTGGAAAGGCTCTATCTGCAAATGTGGGAGCACCACAGCAATGGCGGCAAGCCAGACCACCTGGTCAAATTCCAAACAGTAGAGATCAGTGAGAACGCCTGAACTGACAGCGCACCTCCTCTTGAGTGCATCAAAGCTGTTTTTAACCATTATCAACAACCTAGTTTGAATGGTCAGTTTCCACTCCATTTCCCTGTCATTTACTCCTAATGGGACTCTCACCAGGAGCCTACACATTCATATTTGTCACCCATAAAATAATTTGTTGAATCATCTGCATCACCTGAGCCAGATTGAGCCTGACACTTTCAGGTGCCTTGTCTGAGACTCTTGTCTTTAAACATTCTATATGTCTTTGAGCATGAGAGGATTGTGAATGCCCTGCGACCCCATCAGTACTTGGCACAGTGGACTACTTCATTCTTTAAGTGTGTGGACAGAACTAACTTCAGCTCATGGAAAGAATACCCAGCCATCATTACTTGTTGATCTATTTATAAATGGATTAAGAGTGTTGTGCATTTTAAAATGAGTGTTGCACCATTAAAGTTATAACTGGCTCAAGTGTCATCAGCTTTAACATGCAATTGTGAACCATAAATTGCATCGGATCTTAAGTTTCTCTTGCGCTGTCCTTGAATGGCTGCAACAAATAGATGTATACGTTTTGACAAACTAGTCTGAATTCTTCCCCTCAACAAATGCCAACTTTTAATTTTGTCAGTCAGAGAATATGTTCTGTAGGTACTGTCCTTTTTGCTGTTTGCGGTTGTATATATGGCGGGACATTTAACAAGAAAATTAAGTCCATTAAGAGGAGCTGAAATTGCAGTTTTGTCAGAGCTGGTCTTTTTGTTTATTTTTTTCCTTTTGTTTTAAATGAAACCGGGAACGTACTAGGTAAGTATTTTCTGAGCTGTTTTTTTAATTGTCTGTTAACTTTATGCTGTTGGTGATGCTCCGAGTCTCTATCTATAATAAAAAATAGAGATTGCACAAGTCACTGCATTGTCATTATTTTAGTTCTACATCAACACAAGTGTTAGTAGTTTACAAGTTTCCTAAGATGATCAGAGCTTTAAGAACATTATCCGCTTTCCGTTCCTTGAGTTCTCTGTGGGCGATGTCGAGAAGATCATTTTAAAGTCAAACGCGAGAAAGTCATTAACATGTCAGTTAGGATATAGAACACATAGCTTGACTCTTGTGTCTGTATTTAATCACTAAAAAGAGTAGCATTCAGAAGAGCAGTTTTTGAGACACCAAAAGACCAAACCTTTTAAAGTAAAAAAAAAATAGTGTAACGCTTCTGATTTAAATCGAGTTGTGGAATTGACCGGAAGGGTAAATCATGCCTTCATTGGGTATACAATTTCCGGCACAACATCCTATGAAAACCTCGGGCCAATGTCACGTTGCTGTTTCTAAACTGCTCTCATTGGTCAAAAATACCCATGACAACTTCCGGTGAAATGCGTTACATGGTTTGAAATTTTTACCTTTATTGTTTCGTGTCAGCAGATTCTTCCTCGTGCTTTTCTACAAAAGGAGTATTTTGGTAATCATATATCATAAAATTAAGCTGGAAAACATTTTTTAAAAGGTTTAATGTGATGCATTTGAAAGGAAAGCACTAAACAAACATCTATTTGCTGTTATTGACCGCTTTTGCTAGCGCGACGCTAACGGTTTGTATTTACGGAAATTGTTATGTTTGGGCCTTTAATTCTTAGGTTGTTCCTTTACATACTTGGAATTAAAGATATGAAATGATAGGTCTGACGCCCATTATGTGTCTTGCAAACTATATGCTCAATGCTATCAACCAAATGTAAGAAGCCTCACGGCGTTACATATATTCTTACTTTTTAAGCCATTTTAGGAAGTTATGAACGATGAGATCTGCCAAACGTTTGAAAGAGTTGCCAAAAAGATGGGGTGGACGAATGGGGGAGGACTTGATGGAGCAGAAAAGAAGGTTTGTCGATTAACCTTTTTAGCCTGTACAAATTTGACCTGTAAAGTGCAATGTTTGTGTCCTGTGTAATCTAAAAAGTGACTCTTTGTGTCAGTTGATAAGTGTAATTGGGAAGACGCGTCATGTTGGGACAAGTGCTCATCAGTCAGCCTTCAGCTCATCCAACATGGCACTGAGCGAGTCAAGTGATGACGAGTTTGACAAATGTGAGCAATCTTAAAGAACATCCTGCAATAATTTCACTTATTTTTTGTGTGAGGTTAGGTTGTTAATTGTGTCTTGGTACACTTTGTCAGTTCTAGTGGAAAGGTTTACTCCCCAGGCAAAAGCTCTGTCCCAGAAGTCTCGCAGTGCAGCAAAGACACAAAGGTATGTGAGACATAATGACAATACTTTCTTACAAATTTTTTTGTTAGAATTTCACTCCTGCTGATGTTGGTAAATCTTTCTTTCTTTTATTTTTTTCTTAAATTCAGTTCCAATGTTCCTGTGGTCAGCCCAGATGAAGATGATGATGACACCTTTGAAACCTGTAAACATTTTTTTATTTACTCAAGTGTCTTCTGTCTGAATGTGAATCCGATAAAGGTAGAGATCACTTCATTTACCTTTTTTTGCACATTTTAGTTCTGGAGCGAGTAAAAACACCCACCGCCAAACCCAGGAAAACCTCTCCGAGCGGAAGTGGAGATAGGTGAGGTTGTTTATGTATTTCCCAATCTTTCAAAGCAGTGTCACGGCCTGCAGATTGTGTATGATGATTGTTTTCCACCTTGTTTATTCCATAGCCTCCGCAACTTCATAGTGGATGACTACTCGTCTGATGATGACTTCATTAAGACAAAATCAACTTTTAGAGGTAATTTGATGTCACTGTTCTACTGAATTTTAAGCACAGCCAATTGAACAGTTCTCACCACTTTGAGATCTGTCATAGTTTTGTTTAGTTTTTTTTGCCAGGAAATATAATTATATGTATGAGATTAGTATGATTTGAACTGCTTTCCAATTCCATTCCATTAAAAGTTCACACTTTCTGTAGAACATTGTTGGAGGGACATCACAGGTGAGGAGACAGTGATACACAGTTTAGGGGAGTCATCTTAGGAAGCTGCTGGTTAGGTTGAGAAATATATCCCAAAGAGGTCAATTAACAGGGAAACTGTTAGTATTTATATGCATATACAAAAGGCCAGACTACTATAATTGTTTTAAATCCAGAATTGCCAAGGTAAAAGAAAAAGGGAATAATCCGACTCTTTTGTTTGAAGTACTTTGATGGAATTTCTCCTCTGCTCTGCAGTTCCTAACACCAGCACCACTCCTGCAGCTCGGCAGCCACTCAAGAAGCCTCTCTCTCAGTTTAATTCCCCAGTCTTTATTAGTGACAGTGAGGATGAAGATGATAATAATGTTGTCATTAGGAGCACTTGGAAGATCCGTCACTCAAAGCCCAAACCCCCGCTGAAGGCTAACCACAATAACGAGGACCAAAGTGATGAAGAGAACCGTTTGCCATCACTGCCTCTGCCTCCCAGTCCTGTTCTCTTTACTCGTCCACCCTGTAAAACTCAAACATCGGCGTCCTCCCCCAAACGCACCTTTTCTGCACCCTCCAAACTGGACGAGTCGAGCAGTTCAGAGGAGGAATTCGCATCTCTTCTAGAGAGACTAAAAAGGAAAAACAATATCACGGGCACTTCATTCTCACCTAAGACCACCAAAGGTAAAGTTGCCGCTTCCTTTTGCCTGCCACGAAGGTCTACTTTTATTTTCTAATTGTAAGGTCAATTTCCTCTGTGTTCCTAATTGTAGAATCCAGTCGTGAGCCTGTTGTTTCAGTTCCTGTGAAGACGTTCACAACACCGAGGTCTAAGGTATTAAAGGAAAAACCTCAGCATGTGAAGACGCCGGGGAAGTCCTCCGTCACCATGCCCACCGTCAGTCAGTCAGAGCCCAGACAGGGTGCTGCCAGCAGGTGCTTTTTCCCCTCTACTTGTAGACCCAATCGCTATTCTGCTGTATGAGAGACAGTTCACTTTTTTCATATATGGAAATTTTAATTTTCTCCAGGATCATGCTGTGTAAGACCTCGGGGTGCTTTCTGCATTCACTCACAAACCCTGACTCCAAATATGGGGCAAGTTTCAAGAAAAACAAGGAGGAACTCACCGGCAGATTATACCAGCTCTACAATACCAGTGTGTTCGACAACAAGGTGATGAAGGATAGCGAGGCAGTAAATGTTTGTTGTTGATTAGTTTATGCTGTTTTTCATCAATATGATAAGAAAGATGTGGCTTTGTTAAAGCTGGTCGTTATTGTTTAGACCAAGGTTTAGGATTTTCAGCTTTTTCTCCTGACAAACCTCTGGTGGCCTTTTTTTCCTAGCTAATTGAGCGATAAGTTAATCAGACTTTGACTGAATGGCACTTCTAATATATATTTAATTGAGTGCTTCTTTGCTGAGACCAATGCAAACTAAGAGTAAAAACAATAATGGGCAGTGTTAAAAACCCAAATCATTACCTGAACCCTTTTGTCACAAATACCTTTGGTCAGTGTTTCAGAAACACTGGTGGCAGATAAAATAATGGGCAAATCGTTTAGTTTTAGAAATCAAACAAATGGTTTGATTATAGATATAAAGTCAAATTGAATATAATTCAGAATAAATGCAGTATTTGCAATAATCCCACATACAGAAGCAGATGCAGCCCTGTGATAATAAAAGCACCACCATGGGTCCTCACTTTGTTTATAATCAAAAGGTGTCTTCGATGGCATTTCAGGGTGCATGGGATTTTTTAAGCTCGAATTGACTGGGCGAGGACGATTGAGAATTTTTTGTGAAGTGAAAAACCTTAAATTCAATTCTTAAACAGACCGGCAGTCAGTGCATAAACATTAGAGTTGGTGTATTGTGACATCTGGTCTGGGCCTGCAGTTATGCTTCTGAATTTTGAAGCCAAACTCTTCTTGGGCAGAAAGCACAGATTTCCAGGAATTTATCTAAAGTATTGTTTGGCTCCACTTGTGGCATTTGACTGAATCTTAGCTTTAGCTTTCCACCATTTTCCTTTTGTTTTTTTAGACATTTCTATTTCTTGACATGCTGTGTGTTTTTCTTTGCTGGCTTTACTCCTCAAGCTGCCAAGCAACATGTCCGTGACCTGGAATAAGAAGATGCGGAAAACTGCCGGCTACTGCATTACGGGGCAGGAAAGGAACGGAGGAAGCCGCTACGCCCGGATTGAACTTTCAGAGAAAGTTTGTGACTCTGCAGGTGAGACTCTTAACTCACTTATTGCCCCTTTTATCACTTTAATGGAGTGGACGCTAGCATTACCTCTGCCACCCCTCCCACCCAGATCGCCTGAGAGACACACTGATCCACGAGATGTGTCACGCCGCCACGTGGCTGATAAATGGCGTGAGGGATGGCCATGGAAACTTCTGGAAGCTGTACGCTCGCAAGTCCACAGTGGTGCATCCCGAGCTGCCCATGGTCACGCGCTGCCACAGCTACGACATCACCTACAAGTTCCAGTACCGCTGCACCCGCTGCGAGAACACGTAAGTGTGGCCGGTTGCGAGGTTCACGTTCAGGCTCACGCCCGCTCACTCCCGCTGACTCCACCCCCCCCACAGGATCGGCCGCCACTCCAAGTCTCTGGACACGCAGAGGTTTGTGTGCGCCCTCTGCACGGGCCAGCTCGTCTTACTGACGCCCTCCAAGCCACGGGCGCCCACACCTTTCGCCGCCTTTGTCAAAGAAAACTACGGGAACGTGCGACAGGAGCTGGCGGGGCAGAGCCACGTGGAGGTGATGAGGAAACTCAGCGCAGACTTCGCCTCCAAAACTAAGCTCACCCAAAGCTGAGCCAGGGACCTTTACAGGAAGAATACCTCAATCAAAGAGTCTTACATCTCTGGGCAGCTTCGGTCAGTGATTCCCAAGTCAATTTACATGTCCTCTTTGTGTTTGTGGATGATCAGAACCGCTGTAACTGGACAATTCCGAGCCAAAACAGCAGGTTTGTTACCTCTTTCTGTGTTTTTGTTCATTTCCAGATCACAGATATCAGTAGTTTTTTTTCTAATAGGAATTCAATTTTGGTGTGACTTCTTTCTTGTCAATGAAATTTTGAAATAAAGTTTGCATCTTTAATGCATCATAACATGGTATGTAGTCATATCAGATCACTAAGATCAGTGGTTGTTTACTTGTAAGCCTTTTGGGCAATCGTACAGTATTTACGAGTGATGGTGGTTGCAGTTGTTCCGTTCCTGCTCAGACAGGTATTTTCAGACAGCGCACAGCTCTGAGTAGTTACAGGGGAAGTGAATCTGGCTTATAAAGGAAGGCCTGAAAAACGCTGGCTCTTTACACAGCTCTGATAAAGGCATGAGGTTGAAGGCTAGATGTGCACTTGTGTGAAAGTGGAAGCAAGCAGAAAGATTGATGGGTATTTTATAGGAAAATGGAGATTTTCATTGGGATGGATTTAATCAATTTTCTGTGATAGGATGCCACCTGTAAAGTGTGTATGTTAACAAAGCAGATGATTTTCGTTGTTTTTATATGATGTGAGAAAGTTAATGTTAAAATCTAGTCAAGCTATTCAAACACTGATAAATAGAGCTGTTCAAAAAAGGGACAAAGACAAGACATACTGCTTCAATATATTTAATCCGTTCCTTAAAGAGGACTATGCTGTACGCCTACTCATCAGCTCACAATATACAAAACATTCAGACACGTACAAGAGAAAATGCACGACAGAAAGATAAATACTTTTAGGATAAATTCAAGAAAAATACATTGATATCTGTTGTGTTAAAGATGGTGGGACCTCTACGGAAGGAGTGCAGGTCAGAGAGGTCTGCGGGGCGGCTTCCCTGATTGTGATGGCCGCACTTTGAGGAGGCACAGGCAGAAATCCACAGGCAGCACAAATATGATACAGCACTCCCCATTAATGCCAGGACAGATCGCATATTTCCCGTATAAAACGGCACGAATCTAAAGCACTACCAGACTCAGACAGCGGGAGGATGGATCAAACTGTGGAAAGTCTCTTAAATAAAGCACAGGCATGTACTGTGTATTCACTGTTTTGTGGCAGGCACTGAGAATCTATTTTAATTAATAGCAACACGTGTTCTTAAAAAGTTGCAGCATTCCAAAGATGTGTTTTCATGATGGATTTAAAAGTAGATTGTCACATAAATAAAAGATGCATGGCACTGTATAATAATTAGGGTTTTCTAGACAAAAATGTATAAGCAGCATTCCACATAAAGCCACCACTGATCCTCCCCACGTCCCGCGCTTCCATCAGTACAGGCAGGTTTTCTTCATGATGCGCAAAAACTCCTGCTGGTTCACTTCCCCGTCTCCATCCCTGTCTGCTTCATCTATCATTTCCTTTAAAAAATCACACAGCACAAGAGGAAACGATCAGTTCACGGTAGTCAGAATTGTTAGTGGGCGTCCCCTGAGGCCCAAATGTGCCCGAAATGCCCTCGAATTCTGCTTTGTCGTGAAATGTTTCGCCTCACCTGCAGCTCCTCGTCCGTCAGGTTCTCCCCAAGCTCTTTGGCTACTCTCTTAATGTTCTTGAAGGAGATCTTGCCCGTCTCGTCGTCATCAAACAGACGGAAAGCTTTCAGGATCTCCTCTTTGGAGTCTTTCTCAGCCTGAAATTAGAGAGCAGATTTGCAACAAACCGAAATTCTGCCGATGCCTGCGGCGCACAAGCCAACTGTAGAAATAAATGCAAGATTATGGCAAAAACATACTTTTTCGTGAGAGTTGTAAGAGTTACGAGCAAAGGGACAGCATTTAAAGGACAGTTTACCATTTTTTGAGTCATGACCGTGAGGAAGTCAGAGAAGGAGATCTTTCCTGTGCCGTCCTTATCAACTTCCCCAATCATCTTCTTAATCTCCTCCTTCTTTGGTTCGAACCCCAGAGCTCTCATTGCCACCTGGACAGGCACCAGAGAGGCGGACAGTGAGGTGCACAGGGGGACCGTCCTTCTCTCTGCCATGCATGGAGATCAACGCCACGGCTCTTTTTACCTTCAGGTCCTTGACGTCAATTTGCCCCGAGCCATCGGTGTCGAACAGCTCAAAGGCCTCCCTGATCTCCTGCTTCTGCTCCTCAGTCAGCTCCAACTTGGGGGTTGTCTTCTTGCGTGGAGGGGGCACCGGGCCCTGCAGGGAGGGCCTCTTGGCACTGGTTGCCTTGTGGAGATCACATGATAAATATTACTACAAATAATAATATTAATTCATAATAACTGGGACTCCCTTTACAATGGCAACGTTATATATAAAAACAATACTGACACTTACCATTTGTGAGTGTGTAACTGACTAACAAGATCCGCAATCACAGTGACTGTCTTCGTTTATACTGATGTCTCCCTATAATACACAATGAGAGGATCATATATTGGTTTCTTCTTTACATAGATCACTCGCATAAACCGTATAATTACGATCTGTGAAACATCAACTCTTCCTACACTAATAAAATTGGATTTATTTGGCACAAATTTCTCAAAACGTGAAAGAAAAAGACCGTTTCTAGCTAATAACACACACCAGCTGCTGTCACGGAGGAGGGATGTTTGATTTCGGGCATATAAACCCACACGACCAACTCGGTATGGAACTGTGACAGCGGAGCCGCCGCGGGACGAAGAGCGGACCGAGCAGGTGAGAATATCAAACGCGCCTGTCGGGCAAAAATCTGATTGGTTGCCGAGAATCACGGGGTCCCGGAACGTTACAGCTGCTGAGGGATATGAGCATGTGCGACTGAAAGTTAGAAATGTCAAAACGTCTCACGAAATATATTTGAAATATTATTTTAAAAAACATAATAGGTTAAAAAAAATATATATATATATATATATATATATATGGTAAAAAAAAAAATATATATATATATATACATATATAAATAAATAATATTTTTTACATGTTTTTAAGATAGTTTTACTTATAGATTTTGAGCTTGATTTGATGAGGAGAGAAGAAATATCTTAGCATATGCCTCAGTGGCTCATTTGAATCTATCTGACGCTTTATGGTGTGAAAGCAGTCAGGGAATTGCTCTCTGAGCAGGGGGCGAATAAAATGCTCACGCTTTCTGCCATTGGTCTGAAGAGTGGCGTCCTTTGACGTATGTTGAATATAATTGGCTGTCAGGAAACGTCACATTCGCACTTTCCGACTTTCTATCCAATCACAGATGATTTGATTCTCAGCTGATTCAAACAGTTCAAAGTAGAAGTTGTGCAGAGTGCTTGGCGTTTACTCTTTACAGAGCTGGGAACTCGCAGTGTTTTGGGGGCTGACATCTGTGCGCTGACCGCTGCTTTTCATGGAGGATGGCTACGCGTGTCCGACCGGTGAGTTTGAACTCATGGATTGCGCAGGTTTTTCTCTGGAACTTCTCATGATTCCCTTCCACCTTCTGCCGTGCAGAGCAACAAACGGTGCGCGGTGATCGGGGGGTCCGGTTTCCTGGGCCGACATCTGGTCGAGAGGCTTGTGGAACGCGGTTATTCGGTTTCTGTGTTTGACATCCGTCAGAGCTACGAGCTCCCAGGCGTCACTTTCCACCAGGGAGACCTCTGCGACACACAGGTGAGACGCTCACACCTTTACTGCTACTCAGACACCAGGTGAGGAAGAGCAACTTTAGCCTGGTGCAGGTTGGAGATAGTTTCTGCTCCCCAAAGCAAGTTGGAGAAAGAATTGAATGAGGAAATTGGAATATTGTCATACCCTCCAAGAATCTACAGACATAAAGAGAAATCTCCATCACGTCTAAACATGCCATAATTGACTAGTGTTCAGCATCAGTGCTGTAGAGGATGAAGAGAGCTAATCTTAGCTCTCCCATTTAGCCTTCCTAAATCACAAAGAATGACTACAATGAGATTCAGATGGGCTTATAGGTCGCATCAGAAAATGCAAACATCCTAAAGATCTTGGAGATGGGTTAAAATCACCAAGAAAACCCTGTCTGACTGCAGGAATGTTCAATAATGTTACCAAATATCTACATCTACCAAAATGATATGAGATTGTAAAGAAGAAAAAACAGACTCACCTGGATTCCTCCGAAAACGTCAGTGTTCTGCTGCGGTTTACAGGACCTGCTCCCGGCCCTGAAGGACGTGTCGCTGGTTTTCCACTGTGCCTCGCCGGCCCCGGCCAGTGATGACCGCGCTCTGTTTGAAAGGGTGAACATCGAGGGCACGAAGACGGTTATTAAAGCCTGCGTCGAAGCTGGAGTGCAGGTAGAGCGGACACTTTTTTCCTGCGTTTTGCCAGAGGCCTCCTGTCTTTGAAAACATCATAGTCTTTGTCTGATCAATGTTTCCAGAAACTGGTTTTGACGAGCAGTGCCAGTGTGGTGTTCGAGGGGATAGACATTAAGAATGGCAAAGAAGATCTACCGTATGCCAAGAAGCCCATTGACTACTACACACAGACCAAAATTGAACAGGAGAAGGTAGGTAACAGCTTTAGGGGTTTTACCCTTAAAGTTTGGATGACTTATGATTTCAGTTGTCAGCATTTTAAAGGGTGCATGATTAATTCAGAATTTAGCTCCTCATTGGCTCGAATTGAGTTGTTTTAATTATTGACTGAATCTTTTATAGAATTGACCTCCTCCAAATAATCTGTATAATTTTTTTCTGTTTCATGGTGACAACTTAATACCAGTATCTTCTCTGGACTGGCTCATTAATTGACTTTGCAGTCATTCAATCTTGCAGAGAAAACGGGACGAAGGCTGGACCCTCTGCAGAGTTTCGGCTTTTTAAAGGATGTTTTGAATGTTTTAGATGGACTTTGTGTTTCAGCTGGTTCTTGAGGCCTGCGACAAGCTGAAGGGTTTCCTCACAGTGGCCATCCGGCCTCATGGCATCTTCGGCCCACGAGACCCTCAGCTGGTTCCCATCCTGGTGGACACGGCTCGCCGGGGGAAGATGAAGTTCATCATCGGGTGAGCTTTGAACACCAAAATGATCCCCAAGATCCAACAAGCTGTTTCAAATCCCAAACAATGTCGTTGGTTTACTGCATAAATACACTGCATAGCCATTTTAATTTTTTTCAAACAAAATTTTCAGACCTTGATTCCACTGAGGATCTTTTTCTAAATATAACTGCTGTGTTTTTAGCATCTGGTATCGTTTAAGTGGTCAGCCAGGTCAGAAAGCAAATCCTGTGTGAAACGGCTCTAGTGTGATGGCATTCCTTGGGGTGATTTGTGGTGACTTGATTCGTCTTGAAAAATTCAGCAACCAACCCATTCTCGTCGGCTGTGGGCTGTGTCCTTTTCCCAGGACGAGCAGATGCAGCTGGCAGTCTCCGAGATGAAATATGTTACTGTTCAGAAACAAAATAGAACTTTCTTTCTCGAAATAGAATGACTTTCTAATCACATCTTAAAAACACGAGGCATAAAAACCTTTTAAATCCTTATATGCACATTCACCCACACATCAGATTTTACCGTAGCGGGGTGATAGAAGCTCAGCATGCCAGCTGCAGCAGCAGTAGGATTAGTGAGTGCAACCTTCAGGCTCTGGAGTTTGATAGTAATCCTTTTCATCTTTTCCAGCGACGGCACCAACCTGGTAGACTTTACATATGTGGATAATGTCGTCCACGGACACATCCTGGCTGCGGAGCGCCTGCGTCCGGACTCCCCCATCTGTGGCAAAGTGAGACCGTGTGCATGTTATTAATGTCAGAGGTTTCATCTGAGCTCCACTTTCTCTGCTGAATCTCAAGTTTGCAGATGTTTATTAATGACACGCCCTCCGCTTTATCCTCCAGCCGTATCACATCACCAACGACGAGCCCGTTCGCTTCTGGGACTTCATGTCCCACGTGTTGGTGGGTCTGGGATACGCTGCTCCACGCTTCCACCTCCCCTACGCGCTGGTGTACGGGCTGGCCCTGCTGCTCTGGCTCCTCGCCTGCATCCTGCGTCCCTTTGTGTCTTTCAAACCCACGTTCACACCTATGAGAGTGGCCCTGGCCGGAACCCACCACTACTACAGCTGTGAACGGGCCAAAGAGCACCTGGGCTACAAACCCGTCGTTAGTCTGAAGGAGGCGATTGCTCGCACGGTGGAGAGCTACCCTCACCTTAGGCATGGGACTTGATGTAAGGACAGATAGAAACGGTCCAGTCGTCATTGCTTTGCACAACTCTTGTTGATTAGTTTGCTCTAAATGGACATTTAGAGAAATGGGACTCTCTCTTAGACATGACTTAATGCTGATAAAGCTCCATGTGCCTTCTCAACGCGTATACCACCACCAGATGGCAGCAAAAGGCCCTTGCATTTGAATTTTTTTCATTTATTCTAGTGTCCTTAAATGGTGTTATACTTTGTGAAAGCATAAAGGAACCATTTAGAACATCTTTTTCCAGTAGATAAATTACAGTGAATTTCTGTTCTGACTACATTTGTGTGTCATGTGTATGTTATGTACACAAAGCCTCAATACATTCCTCTCACTGATGTCGCTCTTGTTTATATAAAGAAATTGGCGGGATGAAAATCAGTTTATGAAACACATTTTTTCAAAATTGTTTCCTTTTCACCAAGGATAGGTTTGACAGAGTTCCATGCCAGTGAATTTATCTATCTATCTATTTATCGCCTCATATTTTATAGCCTCGTAGATTAAAAAGGTTTATTTTCTGAAGCACAAAGTCAGTGCCCATGTGAACATTTTTCTTAAAACTAAAAAGACTACTCTGTGTGCTTTCAGAATAAAATGAACTATTTTGGAATTGTTGCTTAGTCACAGCTTAGTTGAAGAAAACCATTCCAGGGACAACAAAATGAAGGACTTATTTACTACGAACTCCAACATTTGAGGAGATAAACACATTATGTAGCTGTTTAAGCTTTGGTTTTCCATGAATGCACATACTGCCATACCCACAGAGACACGGGAAGTTATCATTGATCATCTTACCACAAAGTGTTATGTTGCTGGGTTACTTTGGCATTTGTGTGGGTGTTGCTTTGACATTAATAGGACTGCATTCATAAGAATTGTTTCAGTGACTTCCCCAAAGGACAATTCATTGGGTCAGACCACAAAACATGCTGTTGAGCAAGATCATCTTTAGCAAACTCCGCATTATCCACTGGCAACACCAATTCCCAGGACGACCACATGAAATTCCTAAAGGGCTCACACCTGTGTCCCAAAAAGTCAGAGTTAACACACAGACCAGGGACGGCCTAATACTCCAGAACTGAGATGATCAGGTTTAGGTTTATGTCCGGTGTCTGCTGGTTCTTGATCATGAAAATTAACACAACATTCATCATTCTTCCTCTCTGTGTTTATTCAGTAATGATTATCAGTTTTGCTTTTCCAAAAGAGGGGAACTATTGATTTATTCAAAAAAGGCAATGAACAAGCTCTGCTCTCACGCATATTTAGATAATATTTTAGTGATTTTGATCATCATCAAGATAGAAGACCATGTGAAAGTGCTGCCTTTGAAGTGAACAGAGCCCTTCATTACGACAGTATCCATGTTGAGCGTATTGGTTACTACACAGGTTTGTAGGGACTGCATTTTTTCCATTCCATGTCTTGGTGTGGTGACAATGAGGTGGGGGTTAAGGTCTGACGCTTTGCATTCTTATTTCAATTCAACACCAGCAGCACCTTAATGATTCACCATTAGAGTCAGAGCTACTGGGCAAGGCCGTCTAACTGGTTTGGTATAAAAGGAAAAAAGGGAGGGTTATCAAGGGAGATACTAGAGTCGAGCCTGTCTGCTTACTAGAGTGAAACTTAGAATTTTGCAAGAGTTCCTCATCCTTGTTCATGTTGCATGTGCTTTCTCTGGTTTTAAAAAGCCTTGTGTGAATGTGCTTATTGATTTTAAACTGTTTATCAAACAAATCTAATCGTCATTCAAGGAATGTTAACTTCTTTTTATGATTTCCCAGTTACTCAAACGCCAACACCCTTACATTGAGCAAACATTATGAATGCAAAAGGCGTTCATCTGGTTTTCCCTTTAAAATGGACTATGACCAGTCCGTTCAAAAAATTTGACCTTCCACACAACACAAATATTAAGGATATTCAGATTTTTTTTTCCATGTGGCAGCACACACAGAAGAGCTCTATTTGAAGTTTGGTCTTGGTTATGTTATTTTGTGTATCCTCAGTTCATTTCCTGTGTAGTGTTCTTGATCTCATCTCTGTGGGCTTTGTACTGTGTGTGCTCCCTGGGTTTTCCTACCCAGTGAGCTTGAGGATGAGTGTTCCCACAGGAGGTGTTGCTGCCAGACGCTTCATTTATGTTTGCCATGCTGTGCATCTTGTCCTCTTACCCTCCTCCTGCTCGCTCCAAGAACTGATTGTCAGCCACCCGTGTGACAGGATTGCGTTTGCTGACTTCCATGAACAAAGCACAGATGTAGTAAACAAAAATGAGTTCTTAGCAACCTGTGTTACGCACACAGGCGCACACACTGCTCCACCCCATATGTGCCTTCCTTGACTGGCTGGGCTTGTTAGTGCTTTCGCCCGTACCTGTTTGTTAGTTTGCTGAGGCATCTGTCAGAGAGTAAAAGACCTTCAATCTGTTCACATCACTCGGCCAATCACCAGCACACTCAACAGCACCAAGCGGACATTGCTCTCTTGGTTATTTCAGTGAAATCAGGTATGTTATCTGGTCATTAGGTGTATTTAGTTTGGACAGTCTTGCTAGTCTGTGGTTAAGCTGTGATCACTCATGCTCGATGAACAGGTGACAGTTTAAACTCCTGATCTTCATTGTTGGCGTCTAATTTATCTGTGTTTCTGTCTCTGTGTCATGCCTGCGTGCCAGTTAAGTTGACTTTCCAGCTCAGTCAGTGTTTGCCTTAAAAGCTATTATCTTCATTAATCATTTATCTTGTATGGATGGTTATGCTAAAGCCAGAATAAACACACTTTCTGTACACTTAGTATGTTTGCTGTGTCACCAATATTCAGGACGCTATCCTGGAGATACTTACAACCTCAGGAGCTTCTGATGTTAATATTTGCATTCTGAATTTGGTAGTACTTCACAACCTTGCATGAACTACACAGTATCATACTGTATTATGTATTATATACTAAAGTCTTCCTCCAGATAAGGAAACACCCATTCACTGGTGTTTTCATTCTCTCAATAATTCCCTTGGGTAGTGGGTTTGCCTCTGAGCAATTCTTTTTTTATTTAGGGTCATCTGATTTGGAAATGAGCAAAACTAAGAATTGTTTGTTAAGTTTAGTGCATAATTATATGCTGATAGTATTTTTTGTGTGCAATGTGGTTTATAACTGTATTTTTTGGAAAGTGGTTGGACAGGATGATCTGCATGCTTTAAGGATGACTGCCGAATGCTTGACAGAGCACATGTTTCTTACTGGGAGGGGACATGCTGTGGGAACAACCATTCTCTAAATGACCTTTTGTTACTTAAAGCATACACTTTCTCCCTTCCAAAAAACTGATCCCTGCATATTTTTCAGGTGGCCTGTAAAGAAAGCAGAAGACAACTTTCTCGAGCAATCATGTCAAAAGGTGAGAAGATTGTTATGAGTATGAGATTATATCTCTGCTGTCATAAAAATACAGGTTGTAAGTTGATATATTTTCATGAAAAAATACATATTGATTTTTATCAGATTTTACGTTGCAATATCAGACGTCGACATATTTTGTAGCTCAAGCTAGCATCACCTTTTTGCAATACGCACTTCACCCTGGTAAAAAATGAAAAACTATCCAGGAAAAAGAATGATACATTTGACACTGTACCAGAAGAAAATCCTTGAGAGCATTCAGTGAAGCTTAAGGTTTAAAGAGACAGAAAGCCAATACAAATACATGATAAGAAGAGCACGATTGAAAGTTTGAACTATTACCCAATTTTTAAATGAGTACTTCTATGTAGTACTGAAGTACTTCTATGCAGTTATCATTTCACCAGCTGAAGACAGCAGTCAGAAAGCTTTCAGTTTGACGAGGCAAGGAGGAATTCTGACAGGGAAGCAAATAACTGCAATTTTAGACATTTAAAACAACTAAAATCTCTCAAATTTTGACATCAGTTCAAGTAAACGCTGTGTTTTAGATCGTTAAACTTTCCCCTTTGACAGACAGTTATTTGGTCGTTACATACCGCAGACTTTTTGTGTAGCAGCATTTTCCACGTTGCCACTTCTTCTCTGTTGAAAATCTGGGTAGGCTGCAAAGTTACGAGCGCATTTTAGTGTAGCAACTGTTAGAATTCAATTGGCCATTTCAGTGGAGCAATCTTGTCTTCTGTATGACTAATTCATGTCTTGTCTTGTCTTGTCTTGTCTTGTGTATAACTGATTATCTGCCAGTGTAATTAAACTGGCAGAGAATCAGTTATAGAATTAAGTTTGACCAACACAAAGGACTTTAAAAGTATAGCTGATGTTGCAATCTTTAAGTTATGTGAAGGTTTCGTCAGATGATACCTGTTTTCATAAAATCTCTGTTCTGTTATGACATGCCTTGAGTTGACACTGACTCTGTGTGTCTTATTTTCTTTGCAATTCCTGACACTTCTGACAAAAGAAACATAGAAATATGAGCATCAAAGAAGCTGTACACATCTATTTTAGTCTTATTATACTTATTAAGTACTTCTTAAGTATTGTAGCACTCTTGCTTTATTATTTTCATATACAGATATATGGAATAATGTTGAGTGTCTTAACTGCTGGTTAGTCAAAATGGCTTTCTGGTCTCCCATGTTATCCAGCAGAGAATGTTTAAGAAGTCTTCATGAAGCAGTCTACAGAGAGTATTATGTCTTATTTCTGTATGTGTGTGTGTGTCAGAGGGAGACAGAGCAGCTGTGTTTCGTACCACTAAAGTAAGGACCAAGCTGAAAGGAGATGCCAGCTGGATGCAGCGTCAGGATCAACCTGACGATAAAATCCAGGAAGAGAAGCCTTGGTAAGCTACCTGTTTTAATCAAATGTAGTTAATTGTATCCGTTATTCAGTCACTATCATTGGACAAATTAAAGAGCCTCATGAACCCATGCAGGATAGCAGAAGTTAGAGCCAGCCGCTTGAATGGAGCCCCTGATGACACAAGTCCAGTGTCCTCCCCAACAAAATCTACCCCAGCCCCCTCAACATCTGAAACTGAGAGGTAAACAATTTCCAAATGTCACATGAACAACTCTTTAAAAAGAAATCAAGCTAACTAAATATCTGTGTTAAACTTACAGTAGAGCACCAACATCTGGATACCTGATCAGGTAAGAAAAATATGAATGAATTACTATGATACTTGAAATCTTGGTTTCAAAACGACAAAATGATGGCTTGCTTTGAGACCAAAAACCACAAATACCTGAAAACTCCATGAAATTTAGAACCTAAAGAAAATAGTATGTGTTCTCCTTTTAGGGGTGTTTTCACAAAGCTGGACGCGCCCGCTTCTACACCAACATCTAATGGCATTAAGTAATTGCAAATTTCTTTTGGAATAAACACAGCAAAACAGTAAATGATATAAAAAAGAAACGATTCCCCAATCACTGATTCCCAAATTAATTGTGTCTTGTTGTATTACAGCAAAACAACACAATTCACCAAAAAACCCTCAGAGAGCTACAAGAGAATGTAAGCATGCAAATCAGATTTCCAGTTAACTGCTGGCATCTGACTGAAAGTGTATTGTCATGCAGCATATGATTATGTTTCTGCTCTGTAGAGCGCCCCACACTGTGAGGCCCACTTCAGACCAGGAGGGCCAGCTAAGCCCCACGGATCTGGAGAAACGGTAAGCCTGAGCTCACAGGCTGATTTCACACACCAAGGGGGGAGATTACATTAACATTACAATGATTTCGCAGGACGGAGGCAGCCAGTAATGTTCTGACGAGATCTTCAGTTAAGAAGCGGTCCTATGTGCTCTCTGCTGCTAAGAAATTCGAGTATGTACGAGGGTCAAAAATATTTCCATTGTTCCTATTACTGGTTGATGTTTATATATATATATATAGGAATTTTGTATCGTTCATATTGAACTTTTATGGAGATATTAATGAATTATTTCTGTGTGGGGAAAAACTCAGGACCAAAGATGCATCACCTGACACATCACTGGTCAACAGCAGTCCATCATTTGTGGCCACAAGGTAATCTTCCACCAATGTGCCTAAGCCTGGAGCCTAAAGAAACCCACGGAACCAGCACAGGAGTTCCTTTTTCTCCTGCTTGTGTTGTAACTCTTCACATGCAGTCACACCTGTCTGTGTGCGTAAATGTGCAGGGTGGAGATTTCTGACGATGATGAGAGTGCTGCGACTCCGGCTCCTACCGGCGCTGTGCTGCCATCCGATGCTGTCACATCTGCGCCCAAAGCCCTGGAAACGTGAGTCTGCCACGTTTGTGAATTCACTGCGTTAGCGAGGAGTGACCCTGTCCCTCTAATTGTCGTCCATTGTTTGTCTGATTAACAGAGACAGCAACACTGTTCATAAAGCTGCTGATTTGGCTGTCAATGAGCCAGTGGCTCCAAAGATGGAGCAGGACACCCCAGAGCCCGTGAATGGAGACCCCCTCCCACATCTGTCCACAGAAAAAGACCTTCTTAAAGAAGTGAACACACAACCTGAGGAGCTGGAAATCCCTGCCCAGTCTGGCACCCCGCTAGTTAAACTTTTACCAATATCTTCACCTCCAAAGTCTGCTACCCCATCTTCAACCGTCCCAGAGTCACCTGTTCCTGCACCTCTTCCCACTGTATCTCCTGCACCCGAAATACCTACTCCAGTATCACCGACTCCAGCATCCCCTGTCGCCGACATCACAGAGGAGACAGAAACTGAAACTGCGTCTGAACCAGAGCTAAAACCAGAGCTAAAACCGGAGTCAGAACCAGAACCAGAGCTGGACCCAGAGCCGGAGTCAAAGCTGGAGTCAAAGCAGGAGCTGGAGCCAGAGCTGGAGCCGGAGCCGGAGTTGGAGCCAAAGCAGGAGCCAGAGCCGGAGCCAGAGCCAAAGCTGGAGTCAAAGCTGGAGTCAAAGCAGGAGCCAGAGCCAGAACTGGAGCCAGAGTCAAAGCAGGAAACAGAGACAGATTCTAAACTGTCTCCAGGACCAAGGTCAGATTAATACAAGCCAAATACTGACTGATTATGTTACATGAAATTGATCCGTTAAATCATCTTAGCATCATAATAGCACTCATTTTGTATTTAGAAATAAAAACAACAGCTAATTAAGTTCGGAACAGAAAATACTAATTTAACACATTTAACTACTAAACTCTAATAAAAGTAACCTAAAAATCCTGGCAGTTTCATGTATCAGTTTTAATGGTTCAACAATCAAACAGATTAACAGATCTAAATCTGGAACTTTTAGTTACACTAAAGTAGGATCCAGAGAAAATAATAGTATTTTTCCATAAGGATAAAATTCAGCCCGATGTCAGTGGGGCAATCTTACTCTCACAAGCTTAATTTTGATTCCTGACTTGTTCTTTCAGCTCTAAAAATGCTAGAGGTGGTTTTATTTGTATTTGTCCATGATGTTTGCTCACATTCTTTCGCGCGTGTGATTGAAAGCTGCCCTAAAATTCCATGTTTTTGTTCTCCATCTGTTTTCACAGCTCCAGTGTTGACACACTTGCTGCCTTGTCCGGCACCCTCATTTCTTTTGACACAAATTCATCCAGGTATGTTAAAAATAAATCTAGAAACCTGTATTAGGTCATATATGTATACATATATGTACGTGTATATGTATGTGTGTGGGTACATACATATTTATAAGTATATGTATGTGCGCTCTATTGTGAAAGCAGTAGAAACGAATATGAAAAAGTAATTTCCTGGCCGGAGCATATTTGTGCTGGTGGCTGCAGCAATATGCCATCTGATCATGACAGTTTATTTTGCCTCCAGCTTTAAGGATGACGAGCCAGCACTGGCACAGGAAGAAACAGGCCCAGCAGATAGCCACACCGCAGACAAAAGGTAGAAAGTCAATAACTCCCTCATTCATGTCACGGGACTGCTAAAAGAAAAACAAATGAAGCCTAATTACAATTGTGTTCACTTCAAAGTAATAAAAAAAGATTAACACAAGGCTCATTTTCTCGTGCTTCGAAAAAACCTTTTTTGGAGTGTTTCCCAAACAACGTTTGATTAAATGTGGCACAAAACGATATGATAGAGATACATATGCTCTCTTGCCAATGCAGGCGCACTAATATGTTGAATATTCTTTCCATTATCTCTGCAGTGTTGAACAGGGGCCAGCTCCTGCTCTCAGCAACGGTGAACCATTAACAGATGATCTCTTGGGCTTCGGAGATGGGTTCGTTAAAAATACACTCTTTTAATTGAGCAATTAAGCATCTCCCAAATGGAACGTTCTTTCAATTTTATCCACCAGGTGACACTGTTGGACCTCATATGAAGGGCATTTCTGTAGCAGATCTGTAATAACCTTTCAGACCCAGAAACCTTCTTTGTTAGTGAACTTTTCTGCTTCCTCTGTATGCATCCACAGTCCAGAGGAATCAGCAGAGCCTGTTCCCCCCAGTCCAGGACGCTGGAGTCATGATCTGCTTAGCGGAATGGACAGGTACAGGAAGAGCTCTCTCCCTTCCAATTATAGTTAAAGAGTAATTGGATGAATAATTCCCTCTTCATCGGAAAATCGATTGTACCCCAGACAAAATATCACCTGACCTAACCTTGCTGAATGTGGATGTACAGTCTAAAAAAGAGCATGCATATAAACTCTTATATCTATTTATTAAACATTTTTAGTGAGTCAAACCCAGCCAAGACTGGTGTCGCACCGGATCTCCAGGCTGACGATGTCATTGTTAGCAAGACAGAGGAACGCAGGTGAGAAACAGTTTGTCTTTTGCAAGTCTTTAGCTTCGTATCTTCTCTTTTAAGTTCGCCAGTATTGTACTTTTTATAACTACACTATACAAGACAAGCAACCTTAAGTTCGACCCAAAAACTAACTTCCAACATCCCCTGTTTTATGCTGGCAACAAAGTCTCACATTTTGGAAGAAGACTAATGCTCCAAAAGCGGAAACTAGTTTATCTGCAGTGCGACTGGGAGTGGAGATGACTGTGTTCTGTACTGATTAGTATTGCGGCTTTGTTTTGTCTCCACCAGCCTCAACTTGCAGCCGGAGGAGAAGAAGCAGACAGATGAGACAGCCAAGGAAACACAAAGGTAGAGGGAGATGACAGGCTGCTCTTAAACAATTATCTATCTGCGCAGAACTGTTCCCTCTGAGAAGAGCGTTCAGCTCAGATATGCCTTGTAATGATTTATACTAGCTCGTTCTGCAGCTAGGCTGCACGTCGGCCCCGCTGACACCTCCTTTAATGGCCAAAGCTGTGATCATTCCTGACAAATAGTGTTCCACGCACACAAAGAAAAAGTCTGTACTTTATTCAGATGGCCTCCATTCCTGTGAAATCGTTCAGTGGATTTCAAGCTCTCCTAATGGACAAGGACTGTAAATAGTGTATGAGAACAGCCACACTAACCTTTACTTGCCCTCTTTTCTGTTCCCATGATGCCGCTCATCTCTACCACCCCCTTTACTTTTCTGTCTTGCCACCCTGCATCCAAAAGAACAAAGCAGATCCCCAGAGCTCATGTCTGATCTCACTGTGTTTACAGTTTACCATTGTCATGTGAAATGGAAAGCATGGCTCCTTTTTATTCTCGAGTTCCATGCATCAGGACCATTAAAGAAACAAATGTTTTCATTATTGAATCTAAATAAGTAAGTGCAGCTTTTTGTGAGACAATAACACAAGAAATGAAATACTGCTTTGGTTTTGAAAACCAAAACTCGGCCAAAATTGAGCAGCAAAAATTGTGACAAACTAGAAAACCTCCCCTGATTGCATAAAAGTCAAATGCTCTTGATTAATTGATCTTTGAAGGCTTTGGCACTCCGCTGGTCTGCAGCGGTCTGGTGTGAGTCAGCACCACACCAAGGAGGAAAGACATCAGCAGGGATCTTAGAGAAGCAACTGCTGACCCAGATCTTAGACTCTAGAGGCTTCAGCATGTTAAATGTTAAAGATCACAACAGCACAGTCACAAATGGCTGAACGTGACTGGCTTGTTTGGAAGGAGAAAGCCTCTTCTATTGAAAAAGAACATGGTAGTGCAGTTCAGATCGGTGAAGAAGCTTTTTAAACAAACCACTAGACTTTGGAGCAATGACAGACAAGACCAAAGACGAGATACGTGGCAGGGAATTGATATGTTAGAAAATAGGGTTTACATGCTTGGAGAAGAACTTTACCCCACTTATGATGGAAAAAATTAGATTTTTTACTTTTCAAGTAGACAGCTCAATGTGACTAATAGCACTGGCAAAAGAAACAAGTTTTCAGCTCGGCAGCAGAAACGTCTTTCTATTTAGCAAAGACATTTCAGATTATGATTTTGATTGAGTTTGGCCCTGAGTCCCTCTCTATTTTCACTCAAACTGCATTAAATCTTTCCATTATGAGTCAGTGTAATCAGAATTCCTCCAACACAAGATGGGCCGTGCTGACAATTGAGAGTGAAATCAGTGTGAAATTGTTTTTCAGCTCGGCTGATCCGTTTGATCCATATCCGATAGGGACCACATCCCATAACAGGTAATCATATTGGTTTGGAGCTGTGACTGCTTTCCAGCCAGCCTGATAGTATCTCAGCATGCATAATGCAGCAGTTTCTGATTATGAGCCACTTTTCTCTATTGCAGCTCCTTTGACCTGCTTCAGCCCCTCTCCGAAATTTCCATCAACAGGTACAGCAATGATAATGCAAATTCCCTCGTTTCTCCACTGCAACCTCTGTTTGTAGCACTGATACCATCATGTTTCTGCATAATGTCCTCATCACTACGACTGCTGCTTTTTATGAGTTGATGCAATAACCATAATTCATAACCAGCGGTTACCAGAGATACAGCAATCTTGTAGCTACAGTCAGTGATATGCTTCTGTTGATTTGTGTGTAATTTCTTTCAACAGTTCATCACCGTCCTCCATTGAGATTGAAAACTCAAGTCCAGAAATAGAGTAAGTCAGATCTTATTCAAGTAAAAAGAATATAATGTTTTCATCAACGACTGTTTTCAGCTGTTGAATTGAAATTAAACGATTGTAATGAAAAAGTATATGAAACCGTTTGATAATCTACAAATAGAGTCTTTCCTAATAGTAATGAAAAATAAAGAACATGGTATTAACTTTTAAACAGGAGAAACTGCAGCTTCTTTGTCTCTAGTCATTTTATATCAAATCATTTTTAGGTTTAAATTGTAGAGTGGAAGACAGATATGTGGAGGCCATTTGTTTCTCTCTGCTACTGTGACCCACTTTTTCACAGCTTTAACCTTTCTGATTATGTGTGAGAGGAGGAATACGTCCTCATCAGGTCACCAGAACATGACCGAGCTAATACAAAAAGAAACACAGACCTTCTTACTACTTAAAAACAAGAAAACCTTAAATCAATTGGTACAACTTTATGTCCTATTTGATCTGACTTGCAAACAAATTCAATGATTTTCCAGAAGAATTTACACTTCAGTTTGTGCCATTGGTAGCTTCTCTGTAAGAACCTAGGTTGTTATTATATCAAATATAAATCCACATGAGAGAGTTTGAACATCAAAAGCAAAAAAGTTTTTTTTCTTCATGATGTGCTGACCAGAGGGGGTGCCACAGGCCAATTCAGTAACTTAAAAACATTGTGTAAACACTGAACATATGTCATCATTTCTGAACCAATAATATAGACTTTTCCCACAGACTTAGGTTAAATTCTTGTACCCCTTAAGGAGCCACATTCTGAAACAAAATTTTGTGTGAACTAACTAATACGGCAGTATATGAGAGAGTGTATGGAATACCAGCTAATTAACATTCATTATTTAATGATCTATTAAGTGCAAACAAATATCCACATGGTGTAAATCACTGGTTGGTGATGGGCAACAGGAGTTCATGTTTATATCCTGTAATGATGAATGCAGCGACACCATTAACAGAGCATTACCGAGTTTACAGAGTGTGTCATTTTATGCCTGATGTTTTCGTCTTTATGTGTTTGACAGCATGAGCAGTACCACACTGGAGTCGCTTGCAGACGATGTTGTCCCCATCGACACAGACACCACGAGGTATGAAGCCGCCCCTGGATTAGAAGTGTGTACTGATAAAGTGTAAAGCTGCAGGAATCGATGTGACTCCTTTCCCACTTTTTAGCCTGAGCTCTCAGCGGTCCTGGACACGCACATGGGAGGTCAGCTCACCTCAGCAGACTAACGCGGAAGAGAGGTGATGACACTGATTCCTGTCTTCCACACATTGTGCCCCCTTATTTTCCACTCATCCACATTCACCCATCCCTGTGCATTACCAGCTAAAAGCCTTTCAATGTTTGTCCCCTCTCAGCCAAGAACCTGAACCGGAGGAAGAAGGCCAAGCTGCAGATCAACAGACGGTGATCATGTTTGAGACAGAGTGAGTTGTCTTTTTTTTACTGAAAGCTTTGGGTGCATATTGGCTCCTTTTATCCCCCTAACCCCTTTTCTTTTCACCCTGGCAAAGTAACAAGGCTTTTGCAGCATTTAATCACTGAGCCGGAAGATATTGTGCTCTGGTGCTGATGAAAATAGGTCAGATATTTGTTGCAACTTACCCCTCACAGCTGTGGAAAACAGATCCCCCTTGAGCCAGCCATCTCCTGTTTGAAGAATGTGGAGTGAGTATATGCCATCCTCTCATGTTGTTGACATGTACTTGTTTGTGCTCAAGATTCAACGGGAGCGGGCCTGCTTGGAAGAAATGGTCATCACCCATTGTGTATACACTCACCAGTACACCATCAGAGGAGGAAGAGGAGGAGATAGAGGAAGAAGAAAGGTAGCTCATTACAGGCACATTAATTAATTTGCTAAACCATATTAGCAGGATGATTATATCACTTTTAAATTAAGCATCTGTCAGTCATTTCATGGAAGTCGCAAAAAAATCCTGCCTCGCATCTGTCGACTTCTTGTTTCACACTTCTGAAAGAGTAACCTCATTAAATACGATGTCCTGTGTTTCACAGCCCTGAAGATATAGAGACGGTCACAACCATCACCACCATAAGGTAGAGAAAAACTTTCTCAAACCAACAACTGCAGAGTATAGAAAGACTTGAGATCGTAGGGGGAAGGTGGAGGGGATGTTTTCTATTACAGTAGATGGGAGGAAGGCTCAACTAGAGGCCATGCTGCATTACTACAGCAAACAGATCACACCCGGTCAATAAAACCTTGACCCATGTGGAATAGCTATGCACGGATATCAGCTCCGTACTCTTGTAAAGACTGTGCATTTCTTCCTTACTGGTTTGCGTCCAGCTTATTGAAACCTTCTGCTCATAATAAAAGTCTAACACAGTTTTTTTTTTCACTTGCCAGAGAAATACACAACGAGCCAGAGCCCTCCACGGATGAGTAAGTTTATGACCTTGTTAATGTCAGACAGCACAATGCAACTATGCTTTTCCTAAGCGTTTCTCGGTCAGTAGGTTTTTCTTTTTTTTTTTTGCCAAGACACTTATTTTCACGGTAGTTTTTTTCTTTTTATGGCTTTATAAATTCTAAGTGGGAAGATGCTATTGACCTTTTCTTTAAAGAAGAAAAATAATGTTTTAATTCTATATTTTTAGAATGAACTGGAAGATTTATGGGTCTTCAGCTTGCTCTCTGCTTTCACCAACCAGATCTGCTGCGGCCTCCTCGTTACACCGCCGGCATAGTTAGAGAGATTTAGGCCAAAACCTGTGGGAGCGCAGCTGTTTCCCCACAACTCCTGTTTGACAGATTCCCAGATCAACTCCATTATAGAAATTAAATGACAAGATCAGCCCTCTCATTGTCTTTCAATCTGCCCTCATTTCCCACCCTCTAATTATCATCCTCCAGATGTCAGATTGATGTGTATATGAGATGTCCTTCTGGCAAATCGCAGCCCACCTGCCATTAACTTGCAATGGGAGAAAATGAAGGACCCAGTATATGACGGGTCCCTCCGTAGAACCCATCACACTCCTGTCACTGGTGAAAGAGAGATGAGGGTAACACTGCTGCACTCTGTCTTCAGATCTGTGACCCATTCCAGGACTGTCGTGGAGGAGAGGAAAAGCATCCAAACACCAGAGCCCGACACCAAAAAGTGAGCAATTGTTCAAATTGGAAGTTTTAACTGAAAAGACTCTTTTAATATTGTTTTTTTTCCACTGAGTGTGTTAATTGATCATTTGCTTCACCTCTGCTTCAGGGGGTTTGTTTACGTAAAGGAGTATGTCAATGCAAGCGAGCTGTCCCTGCATAATCCTAAAGACACAACTGACAGGTAAAATGACCAATTATTCACAGTCTAAATTACAATAAAGACATAAAATCCAGTTCTGATTTTGACTTTCTCCTTGTTCATTGCTCTTTCCATAGTGGATCAGATTATTTGGCTTCAAGCTCTACCAGTTACTTCTACAGCAGCCCCCCCAGTTACTCCAGGTAATACCCAGATCCCTAATCCAATTTAGTCCATTCAGACAGGCAATACATGAGCAAACCTGTGTGTGTAATTAGAGAATACCTCGTCATTAAATGGGTTAAACTGGAGGTATTTTCCCTCTGCAGCCGCGTTCATGTCTTACAAATGGTAAAAATTTCCAATGATGTTTCAGCTGCTCTCAACGGCTTTTCCGGGCTGCTGTACATGTTTTTAATGATATTCAAAACCCTAAAGAGATTTCAACACTTTCTACTGATCCTAAAAAAGTTATACAAGCTACTCTGGAACCCATCCATTACTGATCCTTGATATTTTAAAAGTTTGCACCTCTGAAACGATTTTACCATTCAAACTATTCCAATTTTTTCAAGTTTGTAGCTCCAAACTGTGTGTGCGTGCGTGTTTTATGTGTACCCCTCTTTTCCCTGTGAAAAAAAAAAAAAAAAAAAATCCCTTAACTTGTTCCAAACCTGCCACGAGCCATAGTCCCTTCTTCCAGTTCTCCTTCATTTTCACCTCTGAAACAGCCGAACACGTGTTAGCACTGCTCATTAGGAGGCTGAACTAGGACAGCAAAAGATTATTTACATTCAACCACCCAAACCGAATCGCTGGTCACTTATTTGAATTGCTCTACTTCCCGCCAGAGCCTCGATGACATCTACTTGTACGTACTGCGGAGAACAGGTGGGCAATGAGGCCAAGATCACCCTCGAGCATCTCAACATCAACTGCCACCCAGGATGCTTCAAGGTAATTTGTCTGTGTGGAGCAAATATTCCAAAGGAGCCAGATGAATTTTTCTGTGTGTGTACTACATGTTTTCAATTGTGTAAATAAGGGCATTTGGAAATGTGTTTCAGTGTGAGTTGTGCAGAAGGCCTATGGGGGACCTCCTGTCCAGCATGTTCCTACATGGCGGGAAGGTCCACTGCGAGACCTGCTACGCCACCATTTGATCATCGGAGCTCACCATCAGCCTCTCATCATCTTTCTTTCATCTTCACTTCCACATAAAGTGAGAAGTGGGTTTAAGCCCGCTCTTCCGTTTTTCTCCAGATGTGGCATAATTTAGGTAAAGATGATCAAACAGCATACCACTGTGAACACGATTAACAATGCTGTCATTAGATTACACGGCGGATGTTTTGTTCTTATTTTCATTGGTTCATAATGAAGGATTTGTCTGTTAAACTCATGTAGAATCATGTATTCATGTAGAGACAGACACTGGCAAGTGGGTTCAATCCTATTTTTACTTATTTTACTCGTCTTCATAAAAAATAGTGTGTTCACAAGTTTGATGCTTTGTTTAACAATAAAATGATTTACATACATATATATACACATATATATTGTTGTATAAATTTCATACAAAAGTGGTGTGTAAGAAGGCTGCCATGGAGTCTTATGTAGTTATAAAAAAGGAGAAGAAATTAGAAATGATTGCACATAAAGACAGTCTTAGTAAGAAGCGACTGAAAAAGAGACGACGCAGCCGAGACACATTCTGAAGTATTTACCGCAAGAATTCAGACTGGAGCTGTTCCTGAGAATGATTCAGTCTGCGTGGTGGAGATTTCCCACTGGGAGGTTGTTTTGCATTTCTCTGCTCCTCTGTGAAATAATATTTTTCTTGCATAGTCACATCAAGAGGCAGAGCACACAAATGTGACTTCGGCTAATAACCATCAGCCACCCGCTGAGTAACTGTAAAGAAGTAAATGCAGTTCATTTGCTACTCTGCTGATGGTCTCCGCACACAGTTAGGCAGAGCTCCCTGGGTGCAGAGGACAAGTCTTTGGCTCAGCCCCAAGACCAGTGGAAAGCTGCTTTCCCTCGAGAATGTGCCTCTACGGAACGGCACCGTTTGCAGTTAATGCTCACCATGCCAAGCAAAGTAAAGACAATAATGGCACCTCGGTCCTGACATTAAAACCAGATGAAAATTCAAATCTAACGCTCGAGAACAATATTTCCCTATCACTTAACTTGGCGTGAAGACAAAAATATCTCAACTGAGGAGGATATTAATATCTGCTATAGTTTTACTGAACTATTCACAAGGGCGGAGGAGTTTTGGCTCAGGAGCTCAAATATGAATAAAGTCCACCCCATTCCATGATTCAGACACAGTAGAGGCATAATATGGGAAAACCCCGTGATGCTGGACGTGCTCCATGCTCCGTTTGTTTGGAGGCCTGTGTCAGTGTTTTCCTCTGGCTCTGCTCACAGCAATGCTTTGGATGTGCTTCCACAGCAGAGAGGGGTCTGACTCGTTCTGTCTTATCAGAGACTCCAGCCCCTCTGCTTGGTCGAGGCTCTGCCAGTAATCCTGGGGCCATATTTGCAACCATCTGTGGACACATATACAAACAGATTAGGCTCATCACAGAGGATATTTTAATTAGACTAATAAAACAGTGATTTCTCTCCCCTTGGGGCATTATTTTGCGCATTAAAGTCCAGAAAATAAAGTGGCTTTCACACCTGGCTCCGGGAATTAATTTGTACAAACTCACCCGTCATCTCCAGGCAGGTCGCGGACGTCTCCGTACCCGGGGCTGGGCAGCGGGCAGCCCATGTGGGAGTTACTGGCCATTTTTGGTTGAGGAGGCGGGTTGTTCTTGGGGGCTTTCCTGTATGCTCGTTCTGCTGCCAGGCGTTTATTCTCCTGGTCACACACATAACATTCAAACCCATTTAAGTAGTTGGGTTTACTCATGTCATTAACTCCCCACTCACGGGTCTCCAGTGCCTCCAGCAAACGAGCATTAGTAATGCTTCGGTGGTCCTTGAACTCTAAATATCGAGCATATTCATCATCATTCCCGTCCAGATGCTTGAGGAAATCGGCGAGTGCTTTCGGGGAGGGGAAGTTATCAATGATTATCACGGAGTGGTCATTGGGCATCCAGTCGGCCACCAGAGAGGAGCCTCGATAGACGGGCACGCAGCCCTGATGGAGAGGCCGCCAAAGCTTCTCTGTCATGTAGTCTGGACACAGTCCATTCTCCAGTGCCAGGTGGAACTTGTAACGTGCAACAAAATTCATGAATTTGGGCTCCTCGCCAGTAGCGGTGGCAGTATCCTCTAAATATTCTGGGAGAATTTTGTTGTTCAAGCATTTCCCATAAGAGTCCACCTACAGAGAGCGTTGACAGATAGCCGAGAGAGGAGAAAGATGAGGACATAGTTAGGACGCACGTTGGAAGAGGTGAGAAAATGACTCACGTCTGATGCTCTGAGTGAAGCTCTGAGCAAACTTTGTTGGCTGACCTGTAACAGTCTGTTTCATACGCGCAACTATCAACATCAGGCATTTAAATGATCAGATCTTTTGTTGATAACAAACATGCAAAGTAGTTTTTTTTTTTTTTTTTGCAACTTACTGTTTTACAACCTAGAGTAGACACATAAAGAGCTGATGAAGTGTTGCTATTGTGTTGGTTTACTTTTTCCAGACAGAAAAAAGACAGATCGCCTGTGCGATGCTCCCACTGTGACTGTCCTGTCAATAGCTGCAGTAAGACAGATCTGGCTTTATCTGCCTGTCGATGTCCACCGCTGGTTGATGCAGTACTTCATTTTAAAGACCGCACCTGGCCAATTTGGACAATTCACAGATATTCATCCACTAGTTGAAACCTCTTTAGCACCAGTAACTTGAAGTGGTTGTTTTCTGTGATCTGATGTTATCAGTCTCACGTTGTTGTGGACTTTTTCTTTCCTAAGCTAGTCTAAGCCACTGCAACCCTTCTATTCTGGTCATTTTTAGACATTCTACAGTAGATTGGGTGCCGCTTTTGGGGGTGCTGTCTGACATAGGGCCTCATATGTGACACCAGAGGCCTTTCTGCTGATATGTTGTGCTCATCAGCACTGTGTGTCCAAATATCTCCACTTTATCCAAAGGACGCTGTTCCAAAGGTCCTGTGGTTTGGTGATCGGAAAGTTTAGTTTTACACATATGCCGTGTTTTATTTCATGGAATGGACTTACTTGGTAAGACTTTCCTGGGAAGACTGTCAACTGCAGCTGTGAATAATTTTCATATGATGGACTCTAAATTGTTTGGAAATTACCTTAGAATCCTTCCAAGATTATTGATTAGCAGCAACAACTGCTTCCCCGAGATCACTGCTGATGAGGCTCTATTAAGGCTGAATGCTGCACAGCAGCAAATAGCTGAAACGCCAGAGCTCAGAGAGCTGCTCACGCCTGCTGATGATCAATTAATCAATAGCATTAAATGAGCAGCACCTTGCTGCTACCTACTCTGATTCATATGAAATCAGCAAGGGGGGTCTTAAATGTTCATACATCACTTCTGCATTTGGGGGAGAAATGTTACATGATAATGAGATCAAATGAAAGGTCCTTAGCCTAAAGAGGGTATGTGTGGCATTGAAACCTCTCAACACAATGATTAACACTACTTTGGCATGTCTAATATATGCCCATGAACAATCCCCGGGAACTACATTAGTTCTATTACTGTCCATTTCCCGGATCTATTTAGCTTCTTTCATTTGCGCTGAATTACTGCAGGTGGGTGCAGGCCTTCTTCTTAGTGTTGTTACTGGAAATGCCATTTTCTATATTATTTCTTCACACAAAAATCTAAAGCAACCTTTCAGCATTGTACCTCAATGTACTTCATGAGTTCCTGGACATATCTGTCTCTGTCCGATGGCACGTCGCAGTGAGACTGCATGTAGAGCACCGGGGCCAAGCCCTCCCTCCTCAGGCGGTTTTTCTCCTCCAGAGACACAGCTACAGGTTCCAGCAGGTAGTCCAAGGAGGGCAGCCACTGCAAGGTAAGAGGGTAGTCCGACTCCCTGCGAAACGTGGCTGTATAATTGAACAGTCTGATCCCTGGTACATGCGAGAGCACGTAGTTGTTCATTGGAGACTCCTCGTGGAACAGTGCCCAGGTCTGGTGGCGGAGACGAGGGAGTGGCGCCTCGTATGCCCTGAAGTCCGTGCCATAAAAGATGATGGATGTAGTCCTCTTGTAAAGCTGGACCTTTCAAGAGCAGAGGAAATATTAACAGAACAAACTGAAGTGATGCGTCTAATTTATGTACACATGTGTCGCCTCTTAAAGCCAAACGTTTCACAGGGTTAAGGATTTTTTTGTACCTTGCGATTGCTTGTAGCCAGACAAGAGGATGTGGCACAGTCAATACGCTCAGTGTCACCAGGAAAATGAGGGAAAAGTCCCCCGCTCCACCAGAGGATGATGGGCAGCTCTTTGTTGCTGCGCCGGTCGCTGTTCCCGGGTCCCCTGAACGATGGGACGGAGGAAAAGTGCATCTCTGACAGGGCGCTCTGGGGCTGAAAGGCTCCCCGGTCCGCGGTATCCACAACCTCCGCGAGAAGCTGGTCATCAGCAAAAGAGGCAAAAGAAACCCAAACCCAGCACAGGACACCGAACAGCCCCAGAAACACGCAGGGCAGCAGCCTCCTCCTGCCCGCCATCTGCAGGGACGGGACCCAAGTCAGACGTTACCGTTATGTCCACAGCAGCGTTGTTTCCCCTAGTTAGAGATTTAAAACCTGCAACGCTGACTTTGCTTGTGAAACTATCAAAACTGCCATATAGAAACGATGACTTCATTTGTTACTACTTTAAATACAGGAAACAAATAAACGTGCAAAGAGGACAAATCTAAGAAAACAATATATTTGTAGCAGCTTACTGTAGAACTTACCTTCGGTGAGCGGTGGTATGCCGTCCAACATCAGTAAACAGACTCTTCTTCTACGGTTCAGATTTTCTTCTTCTTTGAACATGTGCTCAGGCCAGACGCCATCTATGCCTTGGGAGGGAGAAACACAAAGCAAACCGGCACAGCTTTTGTTAGGATCAAAATGATTGCACTGATTTTACAATTCAAAACAGTTATTAAACCTAATTTAAAGTCGACTATTAATTTATTCAAACCAAACAATGCAACAATTATTTCAATATAGCAGTTATTCAGCACATTTCAATCAAGTTTTTCAAAGAATATTTTTGGATTGGCTGTATATTAAATATACAAACAATCAAAAGGTTTTGATTGATGGGTCATTTTATGACAGATAATAAGAAAATGCATAGGACAAATTAAAACCACTTTCTATATAACATCTAATTCTGTTTTAGTTTTGTCTTCAACAGGAAAATTCTCTATGATCTTGGCTCAGGTGTAGTGACTTGCCATAGCAGAATATTAGACTTTTTGAAACAATTCATGAAAGGTTTCCACTGTTCAATATGTTTTCTGTCATTGCATCAGATGCTGCATGTTTTGTAATATTAGTTGTTTCCTCTCCCCTGTCTCTTTGTTCCCAGTCATTCCCATACAGTTGATCAAGTCTCATGCATAGTGCTGCCAGGCAATTGCTGGATTTTAAGATTTTCTGTCCCAGTCTAACGTAACATTTTTTTAAAAAAACTTGGCACTAATAATGTGGAAGCCCCTGGCCAAATATCCCATAGAGCCATACTAGTTACAGATATTTTTTTTGTTAAAGTGACACTAGAAATCTTTGTCAACTTTAAAATGATGTGCTTCTGACTTATTTTGAGGGATATTGACTTTTGTTATGCTAACATATTCCTAAATCTGGAACTGCCAAAGAGCGCCTGCAGGCAGAGATACAGCAGTTCATAGCTTAGCTTTCAAGCCTTACGTCATAATATTTGCTTCAAGGTTGCCTGACATTTTTCAGGACTTTTGATAGTGTCTTTTTGGCTTGCCTCTCAAACCTCAAAACAAATTAATGTACATGGCTATACATACTCAGACTTAAACAAAGGTATGTTTTTACAACAAGGCCAATATATCCCACCATCTGTAAGGGGGAGCCAAAGAATAAATGAAGTCAAATAAATGTATATTAAAATATTTAGTGTTACTCTAATGTTTTAGGTTTGCTTTGCCATACACAACATATTTAAGTACTGATTATTGTCCCGCCTTGGGCTTGTTAATTCAAGGAAGAAATGTTTCTGTCTATTTGTGTGCTTATTAAATCAGCACTTTCAAAATTACTTTAAAACATCACAAACCCTTTGGAATGCCTCCAAGGAATGTTGTGTCCAATAGTTAGACTAATGAAATGAAAAGTATTTGCATTTTCATCGATTTCTGCTCTGAAAATGGGGAAAAAGAGTAAATATTAATTATGAAACTCTAGACTGGTTGTGAAGACTAAAAGATGCAGAAACATAAGAAAAGCACTAAATATATTTTTTCAAATGGAAAAATCTAAGGAAAGTTCTATTAATTTAAGTTCCATGTTTAGTGCAAAATGTCTGATTTTTTGAGCTGGAGCATTCCTGTTGACACTTGTTAATCTTATCAGAGGTTTGGCACTTGCTGCCACTGCTCATCTCTTGTAATCAGGCTTTCTCTTCGAGTTTCCAGCAGGACGTTATTTGCAAAGCAAAACTGTGATAATGGAGGGAAAGTGGCGTCAACATTGCAAATGTCAGGGGAGCACCAAATCACTGCTGAGACTGTTGGTTTCTTAGGAGACGGGACACAGTACTCCAAAACACTTTGCAGAAACTGGACCAGCCGCATCTAAAACACGATCAGGCAGTCCAAAAGTGAGCACATAATCAGAAAATCAATAAGTCAAGGTTGGCTCACAGAGAGATAGAAAAGCAACTTCATCACTGATAGATAATTAGCTATATAAAGAACACAAGTCTCCAATCAGTGAATGGCATGTCAAACCAAAGATGTAGTCTCAAGGGATGAATAGAGGTTTAAACTTCAGTTCAGCTAAGGCATACCAGAATTTCACAGTAAATGGACAGAATAATTCTATAAAATGGTAAGCATAGACAATTTAAATGTGCATACTGTATAGGAAGACAGAATGCCAGTAATGTATTACTGGCATAATATGGAGTCGGGGATCCTCAAGTTACTCTATTCCAATTCACTCAACACTCAATGTTTATGTTTTTGCAAAGAAAAACAGTGTGACAACTCCATTAGCCATGTTGACAGGAACTTAGATGAAATACCCCTCTAGTAGCAATATGGTGTGCAACAGTGCTGTCATAGGTTCTACTAATAACTAAGAAATAAACCCTCGAAATATAAAATGTAATGTTTACATGTGGACATATTTCAGGTCTTTGTAGAATTCTCTTGTGTCGATAATTTGTAATGTTTTCTTAAATACATTAAAAAAAACTTTGATCTTCCATTCTATTGGAACCATTTAATTAGAGAAAAGCTGATGAAATTTTGAGGCAACACTGTTCTGAGTATTTTACATCAGCAGATTATTTTTGATAGGTTTTCAGGATTAGCTAAAAAAGAAGGGTTAGGGTTAGATAAAAAGAACAATCATTAACACAAAGTTTTAATCTCTTCGAGCAATGATTGGTAATGAGCCAGAACCATAACATGGTCTCAGAGCGAAGTGAGTATTGACTGATTGAAAGTTTGCTTGAGCCATGAGGGTCCACCAAAATAATTTATTCAAAAAGGGGAAAAGTGTAAAGAATAATAGATAATAAGTAAACAAATAACAAACACAATTTGCAATGTATCAGTTAGATCTTTGTTATTAGTTTTTGTTTTCAATCACAGTTGGACAAAGCAGAAAGAATAAAAGCAGCATTTTAGACTGGCACACATTTCAGACTGTTACACATATTTCTGAGATTCTCCTCGAGTTAAAGAAATATGCCACAACATTGATTTGTACATTTTGTAATCCCCAGCAGACGGTGGTTACACAAGATAAAGCTAAATAAACTAACACCTTAGTTGGATGTGCATGACCTTTGAGCCCTCGGGTAGCAGCTACATGAGAAACCATCATGTTTCTATGATCAATATGAAAACATGGGTTTGGAGGCATTTTGAAAAATCATTTTAGCTGGGTCGATTGCCTCATTCAGAAATCTGAAAGTGTATGACACAAGAAAGCCAACGTTCTGCACAAAACCTTTGCTGAGTTCTGTTGGCACAGTGGATGAAGGTAATTTGGTAAAAAAATACATATTTAAACTTCTTGGGGATAATATAAAAATAAACCAAGATTTATATGACAGAAGTGAGGAAGAAAACCAGCATCTGGGATAGTATGGGAGTACATTAGTGTCCATAATTGAAAAGTTGCCATTGATACGAAGCCTGCATAGGACATTTATGGAAGCCAACTGTTTCCATTAATGCAAGTTTTTTTGTTGTTGTTGCTTTTTATGCTGATCCACTAACGATCATCATTATAATGGTGATAGATAGCACATGAAACACAAGTGCATGGCTTCAGAAAAAGTCTGTATATGAAACTTTGTTTGACCACTGGCCTGTCTAATTTCAAATCTATGTTTAATTGAAAATGTTTGTTGCATCATAAAGAGGGAAAAAGAAAATGCAGGCATTGCACAGTTGAACACCTAAAATCTTTTAATATATCTTATTAGATACAGATTATTAAGTTTTAACAGTTACATGAGCCAAAGAATAAAATAAAATCACTTAATCCCTTTACCCATTAAAAAACTATTCAGATCTAAGTTTTTGTTGCACTTTTGAAAACTTCTTCACTTTTGTGGTTAGTGAGATTTTGGTCGATTCCAATTAATACACAGATAACTAAACAACATTTCCTCTGTTATACATTGGACAGATTTGAAAAGTATGATTTTTCTGCTGGCTGTGGAAGTCAGCTTTCATTTAAAACCATTGGAGGACTACAGATAAAAGCACTTACGGTAGTTTCATTGAAGAAAGCGAAAATAAATAGAGATAATAACTTAAAAGATGATTCGTTTTTCAATCTGTGAAAAAAAAGTGTTTGAGTATGTAGTGCTCCTACAGAGAAAGTGAGATTAAACAACTGTGTAACAACTATCATTATTACCAGTCTAACGATCATCTTTTGAATGAAAAAAAGGTTCAATTGATAATCTGAATGAAAAAAAAGAATAAATAATCCGAGGAGCAAACACACCTCACCCAGCTCAGTAAACTCCTCTGCCCTTAACCTTATGGGCTTTAGGACCCGGAAGTGCCCGGGACACTGTGCACGTGCAGCTCCTGGACGGGGCGCGTACGTCACGACACTCAATCTCAGTCAGATGCAGGGCAGACCTCCCAACACTATTTTACAAACCCGGGGTGAGTCATAATACACCTTTTATCCAACAGTTGTTACTATGCATGAATAACACCACTGTTGCATTTGTGTTTGCTAAAAATTGAGCCTCTTACAACAAGTTTTGATGCTTCTTTACTGAGGCCAACGGTTAGCTTGTCCATGACGGGGATGTCAACAAGCAGTCCTACTAGCCTGCTAGCTTACGAGCCACCGACACATTATACCGCTTGACTGCGCGTTGTCAGATCCGGCTTTTTATAGCCAGTTACCTCTTTCGGTTTACTTCTCCTTTGTGGCACTTTTGGGCAGTTTTCTTGAAACTGTTAGCGTCAGAGCACTCGCAGCCCGCTTTGGACACAGTTGAAAACAACCTGCTCCATGTTTGTTGTTGTGGTAGCCGTGTCTGGAGTGGGCTTACGCTCGCGCTTTTGTTATGGTGCCGTTGGAGTTTTACATATATGTACGCTTTTTTTAACCAGCTGACTTGTTTTTGACTGAGGTAAATTAGTGTTTGTATCGGTTCCCAAACCGACACATCCTCACTTTTCATAGGAAAGTGCTTGTATATTGGACAATCAGTGTCTGTATCATTTAGTGAAGATCAAGGGTGTTGTCTGACTGAGACCTTTGACAGACATCTCGGTCCTTCACCCCAGCTGTTACTGACTCTGGTCAACCATTACTTTTTCATATGACTGTTCCTCTTCCTCTGCAGATGCTAGTTCCCTCTCCCCTTTGCCTTTGATTGACGTTATCAGTAAAAGCACATCCCACAGTTTGGAGTTTTTGATCATTTCAGGCATGCCATCTAAATATCCAAAGCCAACTTGCATGTTTCTTCTGGTTGTTGATCATTTTTGGGAGGTTTGACAAGTTATCTAAATATCCAAAGTCGATAAGGACTTATCATTTTGCATTTAAACATTTTTGGGCTTCTTCTTCCTTGCAGGTTAACTGGACCCTGGTCTGCCACCTGGCACCGAGGCCTGCAACTCACCAAGAAGGCCTAGCTGGGTGGGAGTAAACAGAATGAGCGGAAAGAACCTTCTACTGAAAGTAATCCTGCTGGGAGATGGTGGAGTGGGCAAGTCCTCCTTGATGAATCGCTACGTCACAGACCGTTTCGACTCGCAGTCTTTTCACACCATCGGCGTGGAGTTCCTGAACCGAGACTTGGAGGTGGACGGACGCCTGGTCACGCTCCAGATCTGGGACACAGCAGGTCAGGAACGCTTCAAGTCCTTGCGCACACCCTTCTACCGAGGCGCAGACTGCTGCCTGCTCACGTTTGCGGTAAACGACCTGCAGAGCTTCCAGAATCTGGGCTGTTGGAAGAAGGAGTTCATGTATTACTCCAATGTTAAAGACCCTGAGAGATTTCCCTTTGTGGTACTGGGTAACAAAGTGGACATGGAGCAGAGGGTGGTGGGAGAGGACGAAGCACGGGCCTGGTGTGAGGAGAACGGCTGCTGTCCTTACTTTGAGACCAGCGCTAAAGATGACACTAATGTCACAGCTGCATTTGAGGCGGCCGTCAAGGAGGTTCTGGCGGCTGAGGATCCGATTGACCACACACTGTTGAGCAGTACCATCGACCTTCATGGTAACCGTAAAACCTCTCGTTCAACTTGCTGCTAGTGGCACAGATATGAATAATCCTTGTTCTGGTTGGAACTTGCCTTTATGGCAGCCGGTGGGACATTGTGTTCGGTACACATATTTTATTGAATGAGGCATTATTGGTGAAACTGTCTGAGGAGGGTGGTGTTGGGTTTCACCTGATATTTGACTGTTGAAATACTGCTTTTATGGAGGTACGACTTACTGTTACAGGTACACTTATGCCCTGCTCTCTCTGCTTTGACTGGTAAAGCACAAAATGCTTTTTTCCAGCTTTAGCCTTTCACATACCATATAATGCAATTAAGCATTTCCTTAAATCAGCCAGTTAATACTGTGAAAGAGAGAATATAGCTGTCCTCTCTTGCAGAGCAGAAGCAAAATCTACACAGTAATACACAGCATGTACTTTTTTTATTGAGGGATTTAATACAGCATTAATGTATTTTCTTCATATTTACCCAGTTTGTCAATGTGTTCTGAATGTCCCATCAACAGTGGGAAAAGGTGGCTTTAGAAAAAGGAAGCGAAACGACTGCTGCACTGAAAATGAAACTAGCCCTGTTTGGTTTTAATAAGAAGGGAATAGCGAGCTCTAATTTTGCAGCTGTGTCTCGGGGCTATTGGTACAGGATAATGTGGCATTCGTTCATTTTTACATATGTTTTGGCTACTGCACTACTTTGTAGCCGGATGTGTCAGGGAATCAACTGTAATAGCTTTCTTATCCCATAATATCTTTTCATCGTTGGATACTTTACCCGGCAAAGCAAGGTTCCTCCCCGCCACAAAATTTCCAAGTGGTACTGCCTCTGGTACTGTTGATAAAGTATTTATTTTTCCTGTGAAGCACATTTCCGTCCTCCAAAATGTTTCTTTTTAAACAGATTTTTTTACATTTCTATCAGATAATTGCATAGGGCTTCCGTGTTTGTTTGGCAGATTAAAGTCTTTCTCCCTTATGGGATTAGGACGTTGTAATTATAAATCGCACCGTCCTATTCCTGTGTCTGCCTTGTTGATTACGCTGTAGGCCTTAACATTCCAGTCTTTTAGCTCTGCTTTGCCTGAGGGTCTCCCGTGCATTACTGATAAATGACATATTGCCTTTTGCTGTCATTGCTGTCATTATAGGTCTCAACTGAATGCTGCATAGCTTGAACAGTCATTAATTCCTTTCCATTCATCAAGTATTTAGTGAAACATGTTGAGTATTCCAAAAAGTTAAGGTTTACCTCTTGTTTATATCTAGGTGTTGCTTTTTTCTCATTGTATTTACATGCTAATTTGCATGCCACAGGTACATTTTGCTTTGATTCCTTTTATGTTACTGCTGTGGGTCAAATGGCTTTTTGTTTTTTTGTGATTCTAAACTCATCCTTGGTTGCGGATAAGTTATTTAAATTGGATCTGTGTCATGACCAAACTGGCTTCTGAGTTGGATTTTCTATAACACTTCCTACAGCAGCCAATTGTTTGTTGCATACAATGTAAACATTTAAATGTATGATTACCCAAAGTTGTCACAGATCTCATTACGGCCCAGTGTTGTAATCCCTCCTTCTTCTGTGTTGTTCTTGTTGACCCATCAGCCTCAGACGATGTTTGCCTCCCACGTTAAAATGAGTCATTTCAGTGTGAATATAAACATATGACGAGTATTCTGGGTTTTACTGTGGCAGGTTACCAAATCCTATCAGGTACAGATGTATTGCATTCTCTTTCCTTACAACAGGTACTTCTTTCACCTAACTGCTGTTTTAAGTTTTTTAATTGTGTGATCACTGCTCCTCACAACTTTTGTGCGAATCTTCAATGTGGTGCAAGGATGCATTTAAGGAAGCCGGGCTAGTAGAATACGTGAATTCAAAGTATAAAGGAGGGTCTGTTACGTCAGTTTTTTTTTAAACCTAACAAATTATTTGGTCACCTTATAGAGGTTCAGTTTTACTCTGCATGGAAAATGTAGCCCAAAACCTTGTTTACATGAAATCAAATCTACCTTTGAATCTTGTACTTATAAGCTGGTAGCATTACCATCAGTATGTCTCTCTAATGTCAGTATTTTTTATGTTTCTGTAAAATTTCTGAATGTCATAATGATTTATTTGGGCTCCCCGTATCGATGGTTTATGTGGATGGAAAAGAACATGGATTTTCTAAACCCAAAAAAAAAAAAAAAAAAGACTGAACATCGGTTTCACCCTCAGTACTCAGCCCATGAGTGCAATTTAAGCTGTGTGAAAGTCTGACTATTCATCTTGATTGTGTGTTGATCTAATGGACGACTTCCCTTATTCCTCTCTTTGCACTACTGAGAATAAGACTGTGGGAATACTCTCCAGTGCTTGGCTTCAAATAAAACATGCATTGTACCAAATGGAAACGCCATCATCTCTGTGATCTTTGAAAGCCATGTCTTAAAATCCTAGCTGATATTTACACGATATTGCCTAATTTTTTACTCATTTAGTTGCAAAAAAAAAAAAAAAAAAACAACCTTCAAATTGGGGGTATTTTAATCTATTTTTAAACAATGCCGTTATTCAAACCCAAAAGTTTTTTAATTTCATCACACAAACCTGAGTATCACTGAATGGTCAAATACACATTGTCCTAACGGACACTGAGCACTGTCACTCTTCATTATAAACAAAGCTCAAACAGTCATTGCATTTTTATTTTCCCTTCATTATAAGGATGTCAAGCATGCACTGCACACTGACATCAGACCAGGGCAGAAAAGAAAAAAACAAGCAAAAGGAAAAGCATGACGCTTCAAAGTACACTTGAATTTCTGCCTCGAGGAAAATTAAATGAACTGTAGACGTTGGTTACATGCAGCACATTGTAAGAAGTAAGCGCAACGTATTGAAAATCAAATTGCCTGACTGCATTTGTACCAATTTGAAAAAACTTAAAATGGAACATACAAGTCATTATTTTTCACAAAAATATAAAAATAAAAAAAAGGTCAGTTTAACAAACACTAAGTCACACTATCAAACAAACAGTTTCCAATAAAGTATGATTTTGAACAACTAAAATGTAAGGCTTCTGCAGCTACACACACACAGACACGCTGTCATGTGATATCAAATGTGTTTGCAGGATATGGGGAGCACAGTGTCCCTCTGTCCCTCTGCATCCTCCTATACAGGTCATAACCTCTCCTCTCGTCTTTCCCCCTGTACCTCAGCATCTTCAGGTACACCTGGTACACGGCCAAGTGAAGGCAACAGTGCACCTGTGGACACAAGGAGTGAGAATACCAAACACCGTACAAACGACATGACCCCAGCACGTGGCAGGGAGCCAAGGATGGAGCAACGGTTAAACTACACTCACTACAGCCCATACTGCCCTTCACAAAGTCCAACAAATTCAAACATTTCATTTTATTATCAAATGCAAAATGACACATTTGCACACTAAAAGAAAAAAAATAAAATAACTGTCAAGCATCCTGCTAAAAAAATGACCACTCATTCACAGCTAAGTCAGATTTTATAAAGAACAATCTACTTATGTTGCAGAAGATTTTGTTAATACGCAAAGTTAAAAGCATTAGTGTATTCACCTACAGTAAGTAAAAGAAGTGTTATACAATAACTACGACCACATTCCTATAGAACTGGAGACAAAACAAAGCTGTTCCTTCTCAGGAAAGGTACCTCAGTTATGCATCAATAGCAGAGAAGAGCACACATGAGCAGTGTGTTTTTGTCTAATAGCATGAGGTTACTCCATATGTAAGCACCTAGTGCTTTTGCCATCTCACAGTGATGAGAAACAATTTTAGACCTTACTAGATCTTAAAAAATACTGAGCCACTTGTCAGTAAGAAACTATGTTAAAATAATCCATTCCTCTGGTCACCTCACTCTGAATCCATCTTTTCCTCTATGGCGGGAGGGGGTGGTTGTCATGCAGGGACGTGTGGATGTGTGCGTGCTGCTGGGGTCCCAGAGGAACTGCATTGAGGCTTCACAGAGGTCTAACCCTCTCTTTAGAGGGCCCTCTCCCTTGACACGTAATATAACCCTGTGGCAGAGGCTTATGGTGCAGGTGGTCCCTAGAACTGGCTCCTTATTGGCTAGCTTTTGAAACGGGCATGATTCCATTGTTGTAGCTTTTCACCAACCCGTGAGAAAAGTCCTGAGGTCAGTGTGAGACTGCAAATGCATGCTTGTCTGACACCATGGCAACCAGATGTGAGGTGTGGTGGCCATAGCAACCTCTAATCTCCTACTCTGCCCAGCAGCTGCATCCTACTTGCAAACTGCTGATCACTTCTTGAATTATGTTAATTCATTAGTGGAGTGTTATTTGTGTGTCGAGTGTAGCAGGAGGCAGAGATTAATTTTAGATAGTGTCATCCAATATGTGACAATCATGATAATTTACAAATACTTTGTTGATGTGACAGGGGAAATTTAACTTCCTGCGATCAAAGCAGAGATTACACCCATTAAACAGAGACCAGGGAAAAACACATGCTATCATGACAACAAGTACAAATATAAAAACACAAGATGTGAAGAAGTCCATGACCACAGATGGTTCAGTGCAGATTAAAGGAAAGAGGTGGTGCCATCCCTTCAGATCCCCGTGTTGATGGTAAAGTGGTGACAGAAAGGCAGGAAGCTGGGTCCCTAACACCGTGCGCCTATGCCCTTTCTCCCGAGATGCCGCAGAACCGCAAAGTTATAGGTGGTAGACACAGTGTAGGTCAGCTATGAGAAGACAAACACAAACGGGGAGAATAAAAAAAAAAAAGAGTGATGAGAATAAGAAAAAAACAACACCCATAACCTCCCGAACTCTACAAATATCAAAACATGACTGTGCTAATGTCTTTTACTCGATAGCGGATGCCGTCCGTAACAGCTTCTCTAATGAAGCATACAAGTGTAATGGGCACAGCATTTCTCTGCTTTGCTGGAACACCACCAGACATTACAGCATTATTATGATGCTCCTGTCAGCTGACAAAGAGGAACAGAGAGCAATAGTACAAGAGTCATCAGTCATGGAGGAATGAGATGCCTGGCTGCCTACACTTTGAGCGTCACTGAGTCACATGCGCCATAACTCAGATTTTGGACCCCAAAACTGGCCTAAGTCTCAGCAAAATCACTCACCAGAGCCAAGAGAGTGATGCCCGCGCCGGCAAAGGCAGCGATGTACAGGTCATAGGTCGTGTGATACTGATAAGGGAAAAATTGCATCAGAAGTGAAAACATGTCCTCATTACATGGCAGGAGCGTTACTTCAATATGTAAACACCGCTTGATCTTTTACCTCTCTGGTTTTGCAAACATTCGACAGGGTCATACCACACGCTTTTCCTGGTACTGCATTCCATGGCAAGAGCCCTGTGGATTAAAAATAAATAAATAACTTATACAAGGATAAGACATCATGTCATATCCTCAATATTCATCAAAGAAAGAAAAATGCCCAAAATGGTGAGGTGGTGTTAATATATTTTTCCCTTGTGTACATTTTCACTGGCTCTAAACTCAAAGTCTCTTAGTTCTCACTGAGGATATAAATCATAAAAAAGTCACAAATATAGTGTATCATTTAAAAGGCGAAAGGCAAACTGCCTTCTTGAAAGCAGCTGGAAACAGTAATTCAAGAAGTAAATAACGCATGCTGGGGACTATTTTCAGCAAAAGATGGATATACATCTCATGTGTTGGGAGTGTTTTAGCCCTTAAAACAGTGCACATGGGACTGGCTAAATAACAGTGCCCATGTTTATGGTAATGAAACAACATACCACCCAGTGCGACAGTGTGGCTCATTGTGTTGTAAATGTGTTTTAGCCACACTCGAGGGCTGGCCTGTGGGTCAGCTGGCACTGGGAGTCTCAACAGCTGTTTGCCAGATTGCTAAGATTTTTATTCAATCTCAAAACCCCATAAAGCACAGAGGGAAATTAATATTTGGACTTTTTAGTCCAGCTCCTGGATTGTAGAGTAAAATGCAATGAAATGTTTTACAAACATAATTGGTGCTCAAAAAGATTAGTCACTTTTCCTTCAAAGCCTCAATCAGGTCAAATATAGTCAGAATCAGGATTCACAGCTTGAATTTATGTTTCTTATCACTCTGCATAAATGTGAGCATGGCAATGCACTGAACATAAATATCTACTCTTTTTTTCTGCTAGCTTTTAGAAAATTACCACGACTGACATTAGCACCAACAGAGTCATTCTCTTGAGACATAGGTTTTGGTTGGATTGGCCTGCTTCCATGGTCCTGATCTCTTTATAAGCTATACTGATTGCACGCTAGAAGAAGGGAGATCGTCGGACATCTCTTTAAGCTAAAAACAATCGATGCGAGGGTAGAAACAAATGGAGGCGTTACCATATTGCCTTGCATCAACACAGAGCTGGTTGATACTTGCTGGGGTTTCAGTCAAAACATCAATGGTGTGGCAAGTCGCATCCATGTTGTAGAAGAAGTAGACTGGCAACGCCGAGAAGGCGAAAACCAACAGCCAAAGTACAGCGAGGACATATGTCAACGCTATAAACTGTGCACAGAGAAGCAGAATATTCATTAAAACGAACAGACTGAATAAAAGGAATCACTTTGCTTACTTTTATTTTTAATTCCCCTTTACTTTAATCTCACCACCCAAGCACTCTCTGTACACTTATCTTGGCATATCCTCAGAGCTTTTCAGGACTGTTGAAATTTCCACCCACCCACCAGAGAGAGATATGCATATTATTCCCACCCAGTCTCTAAAGTCCCTTTTTCTTGTCCCACTCTGGCTCCTCTCACCGAGAAGCTGAGGCAGCGGCCACACATGGTGCTCCTGAACTCTCCAAAGGTTTGTTTGGCAGCGCTCGTGGTGTAGAAGCCCTCCGCCAGCAGCATGATGCAGTACAGAAAGAAAAAGGAGGCCAAACCATAGATGACATACTGGAAATATTGAATTCTGAGGAGGAAGATATACAACAGACAGGAGCATTTGGTCATACATGAATTGCACTTTAAAGCTAGAGGTGAGAAATTTAAATAACCGAAAATCGAGAGATTAACATCTCACATGTAGGCGAGGGTGATGTAGTCCTGGAGGTTACGTGCAAAGTAGGTCTCGATGATTCTCTCCGTCTCTGTGAGAGCCTGGTGCCCGCAACCACAGAAAAGGGCAATGCCAGAGAAGCACAGCAACGTGGCGACGAGGGAGCAATATGGCACTCCACCCAAACAACGCATACAGCAGTCATAGCAACCTGTTAGTCCAGACACAGCGCCGTCAATAAGGGGACACTGTTAACTGATGCATAGCTGAAATTTCAACAGCAGCAGGAAAAAAAAAACATTGGCTTCAGCAGAAAATCAATGCTATTAAAGCACATCATACATTTGTTTGTTCACCCAGATTAGCAGGAACATTTGGTTTTACTCAGTGTTCATTCTACTTTAATTTCTTAAGAATTTTGCTGGTGACCAACCAGAAAAATAAATCTCAAGAGATAGAAATTACAAAACCTAGGTAACCTAGACAGAGAATTTCCACACACTACTTTGTGACAATACATTGAGCTGCAGCTGTAAGTTCACTTGTTAAAGCAGTGCATTCTCCCCAGAAGTCATGTGCTGTATGGATGGATGCCAAGGGCCAAAGGCACAGGGGCTACGCCTGCTCTGACCCCATCTCACACCCTGACTCCATTCACCACCCAGCATGAGGAGTGTGAGAATAGAGGGAGGAAGAAGAGGAGAGACAAAGTGAGACAGAGAGAGAGGCTGCTTTTGTGACTGGGGAGACAAAAGTCTTTGTCCCACGGCATCGTGAGGGCACAAGGGCCACCAATGTCAAGCAAACAAAAGCCAGAGGGACCCCTTTGCTTGACACACACATCCACACACTCAGACTTCCTTCTAAGGAGGCACACGGGAACAAGGGAAATTATAGCGGGGATCTGCCAGCTCTGGATGAGGATGGAAATCTAAAAACAAACAACAACGCAACTGTGTACATGAGTGCTATTACATGCTTGCATGCTTACATCCACACAGACTCGCACAATGGGAGCAGACAGTACCATTACAGTAAACACAGATGGCAGGGAGGGCAAATGGATAGCTCTTTAATTGAACACATCTACACATGGCTTTGTTTTCTCTTCGGAAGAGATATCCCAAACTGTTACTTCCGTCAAAGCATGAGATTTCTGAAAAGTCTCTTTTCTTTTAACCGCGTCAGTAAATCTAATATAGGTCCCCTTACTTTGTGCACCGAGAGTCCTGTAACCACAAGTCCCAAATATGGGCATGGTGTGTGGAAGCAGTGTGCTGTTTAACCCGCGTGCCCTCTGATGCACCGGTTCCCAATTAACTAATTAGGAGTCCAGCAGACCGCGTGTGGATCGCTGAGGCCCACGGTGTCGCGACGGAAGCCAAAATAACAACACTGTAAAAGTAAGCTCGAGCTACCAGAAATTGAAAAGCTGAGACCAAGATCGGCGTTTTGGAAATTGAAAAGCGAGCGAAAGCAAATGCCACAAGACTCTGCAGAAAGTGGCTTAGTCAACTCAAGCGTGAAATAAATCTCATATCAATGGCGCATCAGCCGGGGCGTAGCTGCCCTCTAAACTAACAAAAACAAAAAAAAGAGTTAACTTCTGAGGCCCTCTCGTTAAGCTCAATGTGAAATCACACACAATCAAACTGAAATCTTAAAAAGAGCTGCACATTTTGATAGTAGGACATACTTACCCATGGCTAGAAGGATGCGTTCAGGACCTGTTGACTAAGGCGCCCGCACCGCTGCTTGTCCACTGATGATATGCGCCTCTCGCTTTCGGCCCCCGTATATCAATCTCAACTCGCGGTCTGTTCCCCCAACAATGGACAGACCCGCTGATGACTGCAAGTGCAATCTTAAAGAAACAATGTCGCTTTTCAATGAACTTCAGGGTGGGGAATAATGAGGAGGTCAGGGTTCTTAAACTTGCAGACCTTTAGTAAGTTCATTGTATATACTTATTTGCATGGAGAGAGCAACGTGCAGCTTCTTATGCAAATACAAAAGTGGGCAGTTTTTCTTTTCTTCCCAAGGGAAAACTCATATTCCCTTGTGAATTTGCCATCCAAAACTTAGTATATTATTAAAGTGCATCTGGCAGGCTCAGTGGAGAAATGCGTCTCGCAGAAGGGGACTGAATTCACACAGCTATCTCAGAACAGATGCAGACGTGTAAAATGAAAAATTGTTTTATTAAGCCTTGGAGTATGCATACAAAATTATTTTATGTCAAGACTCGCTTTGATTTAAAGAATGACATGATACGATTTATGTATCTTTATTATATAGCTGTCTAAAAGGTTAAACAAAAGAACTAATGAAAACTCAGTGACACATTACATATGTAGATAACAGCAACAAAGAACAAATTTACCCTAAAAGGTCAACAGCTTAAAGAAGAAGATTATCTAACAGCGTTTGATATATAGTGCTGAGCATGAAAACATTAAACAACCAGCAGGCAAAAGTTACATTCCTTATTGGTGTTCTGATAGATTTGGAATGTTCTGGTAAATGTAAAGTAAAATGTCATCTCAACGGTAGCCTTCATTCACACAAAGCAAATTCATCTGACAGATTTGTAACTGGTAGTCATATGGCCTTTAAGCCAAAACATTTGATGAGCTACGGATGTAAGAAAACATCTCAACAGTCATTCTGACCAGAAAGAAAGGGAAATAAAGAATATGATATTACAAGCATTTATTCACAAATAATCTAACTGTAACCTACAATAAAAAGTTTCAAAAGTGAGTAAAGGGGGGTGTGCTCTGAGCTCTGCGAGGCAACGTGGAGACATCACTGAAATCAGGCAACCTGACGTGGCACGGTGAGAAACTGTCCTCCTGTACATCCCCACCCTTTGGCCAAATAGTTCAAATAAAAAGCCACATCTGGCTTTACCCATTTCCAGTAGGTGGCAGACTTTCTCCTGCCAAAGCATTTGTGTTAGCCCCAAGTTTCACAACATAATGATTTTTAATTCATTCATTTTTTGTTAAAAAGAATACTATCTGTGATAATAGATCTGTGATCTGCAATAAGCTAAATAAGAATAAATGTTCTCAGGGAAATTCAGAAACCTCCCAAATGAGAAATGCAACAGGCCTGCTGTAATAACAATGTGTGTGTTTTAGTCCAGTGGAATCAGTGACATTATTCTAAAGAGGCCACCTTTATTTATATTTTGCTATAAAGCTCTTCATTTACGTTTGGCTAATACGGTTCATCTCGAACTGCACATCTCTTAGATTATTTATTTTGGAGCTGAAAGCTCAGAACTCCTCAGAGACGCTGCTCATGTTATACAAACCCTGTTCTCCACTAACCAGGTTGTAGTACATTGTGTTTTACAGGTTTCTTCTCCCTGCATTCCTTCCTTTCTCTCACATTGTGACACATTGAAAGGATATCTTAAATGTTCACAACACCGTGAAGATAAAACGATGTGATCTTGGTTAGTTGAAAGCTAAACAATTTGCCCTCCCTGTTTGTGTGTCTCCAGATTCGTAAACACATTGTATCCTGACTCATTAATATTTTATGCACCATTTAACCTACATTAGATCTCAGTTGTTCCCTAAATGCATCAGTAAAACATGAGAGCAACTGCCTGCTGTAAAGACCTCTTTGAACTTGGTGAGATTTCACTTCTAATATCTTTTGTTAGAATAACAAGCCTGTTAATATATTGGAAGCAGCACCGTAGCCTCTTGCCCTCTCTGGATCTGATCCAGTGTTGTGTTTAAAAAGCAGCGTTATCAGGTAACAGGTTCAAGGCAGAGACTTGAGATGTTGGTGTGCCTTCCCTCTGCCACTTCTCACCTGTCTGCAGCCACTCTCATCCCACTGAGCTGATCTTGGTTATTTCTTTACAGACTTTCAACACTTACTCACTGAAGGAACATTGAACTCTTTTGTGTGTCTAAGTACTGTGTCATTCAGTTGGACATCTGAGCAAGGGCCAATCAACTCAGGAGATGATTACCTCAATTTTCCTACTAGCAGGGGTCATGAGCAATAATCCTTAAAGTGGATGAAGGCAGTATTGGTATTTTTACACTGACTCCTGTGATATGTGATATCTTCAGCGGCAAGACTGCATGAATCACCTGAGACAAGTTATATCTACAATACAGTGTGGATGTTCTGTAAATGCAGGGAAGAGGTATCCACTGCTTACTGAAAATGCTACTAATAACAGATAACATTTTCTACATTTTCTGGGTACTCTAAAGTACCTTTATTAAGAAGCTTGTTGACAATATTTCTAAAACATTTTTCAGTCATGATTCTGAGAAATATCTGAATACATCAGATCCATACAATAACATGCTGAACTGCAAGAAGCTTTACGCAAACATTCAAAGCTGTTTAAGTGTCTTACTGTTTTCGTCCTTAAAAACCGAGGGTAAGATTACTCTCTGCTTGCTTTATTCTGTTATTCTTCAGACAAATATTTTTCTTTGAGTCTGAGTGGAATCATATTCTCCCCCCTGTGTCCATTCTTGTTGTTTCTTAAACTTCTATTTTTTAGAAATAAATAAGTTGACACCAAAAGCAAACTGGCGGATGCCAGCAACATGCACAAGCCAGTAATGAATATAGCTTGAGCATATTTAATTATTTCTACTTTACATATAGGGGCTTTTGAAGGGCTTTGCACCAAATCAGATGTCCCTGTCCAAGCAGGAGCCCTGTCCAAATAGCAGTTTTCCAGACTCTCATTGACCAACAGATTAACCCAGACAGTGGTATAAAGGGGAGTTGGTTTACCATTGTCTCTTACTATAACAAACAGATTATGCATTCCCATGTCTATGGGAAGGAGCTGCTGACTTAACGTGATGTTTCCTGACCTTAAGTCTACCTGGAATGGGCTGCTTTTTTGAGCTGGCTCTGATGCCACAATGGAGAACATAATCTCAGAATTTAGCCCGGAGTCCTCATCAATGGCATATATTTTTGCTACTACAGTACCTGCCAGGGTACCTGGAGAGACAGTTTGGCATGAGGAGTTACTGCTGGGAAGGATCACTTTTGGCTGGTTGTCATTCATGTCCTCCACAAAGACAGTCACTCTAACAATGGAAGTCAAAGCCACTGGATGCCCATTATCAGTGGCCAGCACGTGGAGTTCATGGCGGTCCTCTGTCTCACGGTCCAAGTTGCTGGTGGTGCGTAGTGTTCCCCGCGCATTATCCACAACAAATGGTGCAGTGCTGTTTACAACATGCAGTTCTATGCTCCCATTCTCCCCTTCATCTGGGTCTTTCACCTCTATGCTCCCGACCAGGGAAAGTGGTGATACATTCTCAGGGATGAAAAAGATGAAGTGAGAGGTTAGAAAAACAGGTGCATTGTCATTCTGGTCCAGAATACGAATAATTACAGTGACCTGGGACTCCAGTGGAGGAGAGCCACTATCTCCAGCAAACACAGTGAGTTTGTGTACATCCTGTTGTTCCCTATCCAGAGGAGCTGACACGGACAGTTGTCCTGTCACAGAGTCAATGTGAAAGATGGCAGATGTGTTTTTTTCAAGCCTGTAGGTCACCCTGCTGTTGTTTCCACTGTCTGCATCAGATGCTGACACCTGCAGCAGTGGCATTCCTGGCTGGTTGTTTTCCTCCACTGAAAGCTGATAGTGAGAGACGGGGAAAAGCGGGGCGTTATCATTGACATCTGCCACCAATACCTTGATCACTTGCCTTGATGGAATGATCACAGATCCTTCTACTGATCTCCCATGCACTACCATATGAACGTTATGTTCTTTTTTCATCTCATAGTCGAGAGGCTTTGAAGTGGAAAGCAGATATTTGCCATTCTGTGGGCTCAAAGAGAAAGGCACATCACCCTTGATGGCAAGAGATGAGCCTTTTAAGCTGCTGTCACCCTCAAGCTCTAAAACGGCTAAGACAGTTGGGGGCTGGTTCTCTGGTAACAACACAGTCTGGTTTTGATGCTCGACTATGAACCTGACCTTGATCATGAGCTCTTGGTTTGCCTTGGGGAGCACAGATACAGTTACCTGAGTGTTTGCTGGGGGGCAGTGAGGACCGCTGGCTAACACTTTCAACACTACCTCCTCAGACTTGTCGCTGTGGAGGTCCTGTGCTAGTCTGATGTACCCAGTGCGTCTGTCAAGGCTAAAAAGCTTCTTGGCCCTCTCGGACACCTTGGGACTGAGGGAATAAATGATGGCAGCATTTGGGCCAGTATCTGGATCTGTGGCTGTGACCTGAGTAACCACCATGTTCTGAGGGGAGTCTCCTTGGATTGTGACCGTCTGTGGGCTGTCAGAGCTAAAGCTTGGGCAGTTGTCATCAACATCTGTCACTGTGACTATCAAAGCTGCTGATGCACTTAAAGGGTGTGCACCACAATCTGTGACCACCAGCTGCATTTTATAGAGTTCCTGAGTCTCCCTGTCCAGAGCAGTTTGTACAACCAGCATGATTGAAAATCCGTCCTGCCCTATGTTTAAAGTAAAAGTCCCTTCAGAGCCTTGAAGGTGGTACTGAAGCTTTCCATTCTGTTGGATATCCCTGTCCTGAGCCTGGTCGTCCAGCAGAAAACTGGTCCCCACAGCCGTGTCCTCAGACACCCTCAGGTGTATTTCGCTGTTTTCAAACTGTGGTGCATTGTCATTGATGTCCTCTATGATCACATGAAACTGTATAAGGTCCCCTGAGGGCCCCACAACAACACTGTGCGGAATAATGCATTCTTCAGCTTTTGTCTCCTCGGGGCAGACGAACTCGCGATCCATCTTTTGCTCAGTAGTGTAGATATTCCCAGTGTTTGTGTCCATCCACATATACTCCTGGGTCAGAAGCTTGTATGGAGGTTGAAATAGTTTACCGAGTGTTCCAACCAGGGTACCGGGCTCCAGTTCTTCTGGGACTACAAACTGGATGGAGCCACATGTGAGCTGTTTAATGTGGACCAAAAGCAGGAGACTCTGATGGGGGAAAAGGAAAGAAACTCAAATGGTTGAATTTGTTTTTGAATTCTACAATATTTTCAAGTCAATTTCCCCTGAACTTGAATGTTCAAGAAATATTCTCTCACGTGGCTTAAATGTTTAAAATTTATGGCTCAGTGATCTCTTTGAAAAGCAGACAACTGTACAATGGTGGTAATGTGATGCCTCTCACTTATTTTCAACCAATCACTCTTGCAAACAAATAAAACACGCACAATGGCAAAGGAAGAATTTACTGTTTCAGAAATGCATGCATTTCACCAATATTCTAAATGTGTCCAAATCATTTGTATCCCATAGAAATCCCCAGTGAACACAATCTCTCATAAGATCAATAGCTTTTCAGTGTCTCTGCATATATTTTGAGCATTTTAAAAAGATTGCAAAGACATAGATAGGATGTCAGTTGTGTGATAATCCCTCTTAACTGACTAACCTGCACAAGTCCAGCCAAGTTCATATTAAAAGGTGTCCCATGGCCCATCGCCCACGCACATGATACCAAAGTCCCCTGGCAGCAAGTGATCACCGAGTACAGAAGCAGCAATTTAAACCTGCACAGCTGAAAGCATAATCCATGGATGCCCCTCCTACAACACCTACGCTGCTTGTCCAGCTGACATTTGAGATGCAAGAAGATCAACAGGTTTACAAGCTGGAGTTTGAATTCGTGTTTTTGTAGTCATTCCTGAGCAATGTGTAAGCACAGGGTTTGTGAAAACATGTTACTAAGGCACACTGAACACCAGTAACCTGATGATAAAGAATCTACCTTGATACCCTCCTCGATTCCCCCTTCCCTAACCTCCCTTTTAAGGTTACACCCCAAACCTTGAGAGACTGTTTTTTAAGAATATTTTGGTGATTGTCCTTTGCAATTTTTTCTTTTTGTTAATGCTGAAATATTTCAAAAGTAAAATATTGTAAAAATATTTTAGAAGAACACATATATGCGTGACACTACTTAAGAAAAATACAAACTTACCAAAAGATTCCAGCATTTAGGATTCTTCTTATCTTTAGATATGTCAAAAGAGGGGGGAAATTATACACAGAATAATATGTCAGCTGTACTCTGTGGTAGTAGTGCATTCTGAAAAGTTATTCTGCATATGGGAACTTACAATAACATCTTTGATAGACAGAGGACGACTTGTTGTGGACTGTGTGCTCATTGGAGCCAACAAATGTTCCCTGTTTGTCGTTTCTTTCCCATTTTTATCTGTGAATTTTGTTTGTCTGTTGTTTCTCATACTGACTGACAGGAAACTTAGCATTATTTTGCCCTCAGCCTGAATGGGAAGAGTGCCCTCTATAAACCGAGCAGAGTACTGCACCCCTTGAGAGGACCATCAAGGGGTTTTATTTTGTCCCTCAGTCACGTGCTCCAACAAAGTGTCCATTCCTCAATTCCCCAATGACATCCACACTCAGGAATTCAGGGCTACATTAATCTGATTGAGGTTTTGGCCCTTAGATGATGATAATGTCTCAGTGAGCTGCTGATTCTCCCTCCTGAAAATTAAAACATGAATATTCCCCCTAAAAAAAATAAATACATCTAATTCTAATAATGGAATATATCTCTGAGTTGAGTTATGTAACGGGTTATTCCTGTCTCTCTTTGCGTCATTATTTCCCCACTTTCCGCCCACTTTTTACGGTTCCAGTCAGACCTTTGGGGTTTTTCCGCGACTTGATTGGTCGGTCAGGTCCTCTGAACTGCGCGGCCGTTGAGGGCTGCTGAATAAAACTCAGAGGCATGCCTGTCAGCGCTAAACCGCTCTGAACCCAGACGCACAGCAGCTTGGTGGTTTATTTCATCGTTCCAGCATGTCCTCAGACATTAACACGGGTGAGTGCGACGGCTGCTTGAGCCATTAATCTTGAATGGTTATAGAGATGGTGATAACATACAACAGTTTAACCCCAAAAAGCCGTTTATATATATATATATATATATACATATATACATATATACATATATGTATATATATATATATCAAATTAATGGGTTGTAAACCAAAGCGTTATTATTATTTTTTAGCCCTCCTGTAATTTTTCCGGGTGTTAATACAAAGTCCACCTCGTTCGTCCATGTTTTATTTAATTTGTCCATCTTAGTTATAAAAGATAAAATTCAGTCATATGGGATTTATTCTATATACAGCAGACATTACAGTTGTTAATTGTTATCGCTCACTCTTTTTCTGCTATGTAAACCTCTTTGAGACATTTTGAAAACTTTGGCATATTCAAGTAAGTTTCATAATTGCCAAAGAATCTGATTTCTGCTGATACTGTTCTGCAAATCCATTATTTCACATGGTACATTTAACTGAGACTTTTTCTAAAATGCTCTTACAGTGGTATGTTGATTCTTATTTCTTTGCCACAGTTCTTTTCCCAGTTGTATTTGGTGTGTTATTGTCTGTCTGGGTTACTTTTGCTCGTATCCAACAGAATATTCGTGTATTCTTGTCTTTTAAAATGGTCAGGATTTGAAAGCATAAAAACTTTTGATTTTACAGATAAATCAAATTTATTCAGAAGCTTTTCCTGCACTTCTGCTACGTTGTATGTTATTCAAGTAAGTTGGGACTCCTTTCAGTAGAGTGTCTAATTTCTTTCCAACTGCTGTCACATTTTCCACAGACTTGGAGTTGGAGCTGGGTGAGTTGTTGCAGGAGTTCCAGGATGTTGTGGAGGAGCTAAAGGCCCCTGCGCAAAGCAAATGTCACGTTTACCAGCATGTACTGCATGAGGCCAAGAGCCGCACGGGCCAGGGGGACGACAGTGGAGTGGAAGATTCTGATTACAGTAAGTAAAGAAACACATTTTAAGAATTATCATTGTGTTTGCTTTATGTACAGTCATGTTTCGACAATAAGAGACAGTTTGTGGTGCATCATTTGCTAGTGACTGACTTGGTAAATCTTCCCAATTGACATTCAAATGAACCCATCATAAGGCCCAATAACAGCAATATGGTACTTTTAATTAGCATGAAGTCAGTGATACGGGAGGACATATGTCTGCACTTTTCTGAAAAAGTAGCTTGTCTGCTCTTGACGACTGCTCTGCACAGGAATAAACTGTAACTACGGATAACCCTTCTCTTTTAATTGTCTTGTTTTCCTTGATATAATTGTACATTTGTCTGCGCTAATAAGATAAAGCGAGATCTTTTCTCTCTCTGCTCCCATGTGTCATCATTACTGGAAGTGTGTTGGCCCTGAAACGTTTCAAATGGCAAACTGCTTTCAAGTTTTCAAGCAGACACATGAGACGCTTGCAAACAGAAATTTAGCATTGTTTTATAACATCCTATTTGCAACATTTACAACTCCTTTTTTTTGTGCTAACATTGTTGTCACTGCTGCTAATCATTTGCTTGGAGTACCCCTTAGAGCTTATTATCTCCTCTCACTCCTCCCATTACCCTCCAGGCAGTGAAGCTTCTATGGGAAACAGTTTGAATACCAGTGAAGAGGAGCTTCACACAGCGGGCATAACGCTGGCACCGAAAGGTACTGCAGCATCATATCAGCCCGTCTCCAACCAGATAGCCCTTGTTCTTACAGTGATGACTATCACTTTTGCTCTGATCACTATCACAACCCCACACAAACCATCTGCATTAGGCACAGAGCTTTCTTGTTTTCACATAACAAAGCCCCACCGACTGTGACTCTAACATCTCGGCACCCCTCTTTCAGGATTTGTCTGTGATGCTATGCAGTACAGAGATGTGTGTGTGTGTGTGTGTGTGTGTGTATTTAAAAATGAAAAAAGAGCAGTTGCTGTTACATGCACAGACTGTTAAATTTCAATGGAAAAAAACAAGAGGCTGTCCATATGGTCTCATTTTCTCTGCATGGTTTCACGCACGGATCCTGTTGAGATCAAGGTTTTGAATCCCTTGAGATCAGCTTTATGTGAGTTTTCAGGAAAATAGTCTAAAAAGCACTTTGACTCTCATTTAATTGTGGTATTTTGATAATTTTGGGCCAAAGGAAATGCCACTGAGCCGAGCTGTATTTCCCTACAAAAACGATTGCATTGCTGTTTTTTTCTGTAGTTCCTGAAATTCCTTTTCCTCCTATCTTTCCTCTGCAGCCAAGCTGGGAGACACAAAAGAACTGGAGAGTTTTATCGACATGTTGGACAGAGAACTCGCCGGTGTGTATTTCATTCAATCTAGTCTTTATTCCTTTTGTACTTCAACTGACAATGCAGCGGGTTGCAGCGTGTCATGGTGGCAGAGGCACTGACGGAGGGAATATTTGTCTACACATTGAAAAACAGAGTGCTCAGCAGAGTCCACCTTGTGTCTTCCCTTTGCCACTGTATCCCCCTTCTGTTTTTATCTCTGAGCACCTTTTATGTGTAAATGCCACGTTTGGGGACTCAGGTGGACTATCTCCATGACCTTTTGTGTTAATAGGATACTCAACTACATGAGCATCATGATCCTCCTATCAGTACTGAAGGAGTGGTGCTTTAAAGACCCATGAGCACATGCATCACTCTGTACGTGCACACGAGCCACAAAGAACAAAATGTACTTGCACTGCTATCAGTGGTCTTGGCAGGAATAATTATTCCAACAATTTAATTGTCACTATTCCTTTATCCTTAAACAACTCACATCCTACACATTCTATACCTGTCTCTACGTGTATTGAGATATGCTTAATTTTTTTTTTCTTTTTTCGCAGAGATGTGAACAGAGAGAAAGAGGGTGAGCCAAAGAAGACAAGGAGAGATCTATGCCTTTGAAGGGGGTCTGAAGGAGCAAATGCATCCCTTGCCGCTTCAGGGAAAAAAGGTTAACTTCAAAAATTAAAAGGGCACTCCATTTTGAAATGCAAGAACACCCACACACCCCCCTGGCAACGCTGCACCCACCCTGCAAAATGCCTGAACCATTAGGTCCAAGATTCGGACATATTCTTGAAAAGAAACAAAGCTTCCGTCTGTGCAGGCACATGATGTAACACAGCCTGTAGTACAGAGAACCTGTTTATTCCCCATTTAAAGTGTTACGGCACTAAAAGGGCTATAAAACCTTATTGCCAAATATTTCTAAGGCCAAGACTTCAGATCTGTTGTGAGTCATCAAATGCCACTTATGTGCTCTCATTTTGTGTACAAATATTGTTGATATTCCTTTTTTGTAAACATTGTTGTACATATGAATAAATAAAACAAAATTGATATCGTATTCTATTTTATTCAATCTAGATTTCTGATTCGTTAAATTGTACACACTGTATAAGGCTGAAGGGTTGTTTCAGAAAAAGAGGCTATGGGTCCACACCTTCCATTTCCCCTTAAATGAGACAGTTGTCTATGCAGCACTGAACAGCCCTCAACCGATTCTTCCATCCTGTTTGCTCTTGTGCTTTTTGTACGTGCTGACTTTGCTTTGAGTTTCACTTCTACAACCAACTCAGGAAAACCGCAAATTCAGCTTAGATTTGCCTCAGACATCATGTGAGTACAGCCTGCAAAAGGAAGTGCATGAGTTGTGTTGTGGGAAAACAAATTCTCATTTAGTCTGAGAGCTAAAATTCTGCGCCAGCGGCCTCTGCTTTAAAACACATCCGAGCTTTGAACTGAAGAGGGGAAACTCTAGTGCTACACCTGAAAGACTGTTCCGTGATGTGTTCCTCTCTATTCTTTTAATGCATTCTGCTGTCATTTCACTTCAGTGTGCTGTGGGAGAAGCGAGCGGCATCCGTGTGCAGGTGTTTCCTGCAGTTGTCAAAGAAACACACTAGGGTGTAGCGAATGCTGTGTTTGAAAGGTGTTTTTTCTTTCTTTACCCTGTTACTTGAAATTTTACACAGAGGGGCATCAGCAGTGGAATTCTGCTGATGTAGGCAAAATTATTTTAAGCCTATTGAAAGGCTGACACATCTGAGTTTGTAAATGATTTTGAATGGGGAACTAAGCCCATCACGTCAGTTTGAAATATTCAGAGAGAATAACTCATTGTAATTGCACAATTTCTGGTTTCAGAGTGATTAAAGCCAAAATGAGCGGATTTTGCTTGTTGAAAGCATAGATGTCAGCAACCAGCAGTTTATTGTATTGTCATTGTTCACTCCTTAGAAATCTGCAGACAGCTAGCTGATATAACCTCCAGTATTGGAGATAATAAAAGCCATAGGCTGCTTTGGTGAGCGTTTTCTTTTGACAGCTTGTCAGATCCTTAAAGAAGAAGGCTGAACTCTTAAGTTACTGTCTGTTTATGTCTCATTAAAAGACATTTTGTTCCAAAAGTTCAGCTCTGATGTCTGGCCAACTGTTTAACTCAGCTGACCAGGACAAGTGCTGCAGGGATTCGTAATGAGAGCATTAAGATTCACTTTTGATATTACTGTATGGCTAAATGGAAAAATGGGAACAGCAAAATGCCAAAAGGAAAAATGAGAGTCTTCAAAGATAAGGGAAATACACAGGGGTGGTGTTGAGTAACATGCTCCTATTTTGTTGTCTGTTCTGCTAACAGAGAAAGGCAAGATAGACTGATTGAGGCCACAGCTGTTCAGGGTAGTAACAAACATTGTTGGCTTTGACATGATGGAACTTCCTTCACAAAAGAAGCGCACATCCTGTTTTCAGGATGAGGGCGAGGAACTGCGAGAATGCAGGAAATGCGTTGGTGTAGTGCAGGTGAAATGGAAAAGTATTTCACTTCTTGTTTTAGTTTACTGCCATACAGTACTGTACAGAATTACTGATCCTCCCCTGAGACGTTTTTATTTTTCTTCCAACAAGCCATGTGGCCACTTACGCTTTTGAAGCGCTCTAGTGCAAAAAAACTCTCAAGGCCTCTTGAAGATCTTTCACTATTCTCCCTGTTGCTCTTTCATGAGCATTCACCATTCTTTTGGTGAATGCCTTTAAGCTTGAAAAATGACACCTCCTCAAGCCATGAATCTTTTCAGAGCTCAGACCTTAAAGGTATGGAAACAGTGTAAGGTCATTTTGACGGAGTATGCAACAAAACACAATAAGCATCAGAAGAGGAAATTTGACATGTCCTTTAGGAAACCTTAGGAATTACTCCTCAAGACGAGAAAAAATAAATCATAAGAGAAGCTTCTCTAAGAAGATTCAGGCTGTATTAAAAAACAAGTTTGGTCATACCAAACAAGTTGGTGAAAATGATACAAACTCTGTTTTTGCCTCATAGACTGAATGTTTACATATGCTTCCATGTTTCAGAAAATTGCTACATCTATTTAACATCGTCCTGATGATATCTCAACAAAGGACTGATACGGCGTTCCAGACAGAGACCAGCTCTGTTACTGGTCTTTCAGCCAGAACATGGCTGTCACTGTAATCCGTGTTGCCATTTCACTGTACACAGAAGATAACGAGTAGCTAATTGTGTTGCATGAATTAATTTAGATTGCTCTTTCATGAGATCAGATGTAATATATCAGTTTGTCTTATGGGAACACCACTCTTTTGTTTATCCACTCATTCCAATGAAATGGATATTTGAGTGACAGCGGACCAAAGTGAGAGGTCACTGCATCAGCCAGTCATTGTTTAGACAGCAGACAGACTAAATAATGAACGTCCCAAGTCCATTAGTAGGTAAATCAAAATAAATTGATATTATGATGAGACGGTGAAATGTCTAGAGAAGTGAGCTAATAAATATTGTACCCTTTACAGCCCTCACCTATAGACGTGTGTTTCCTGGTAATTAATGTCACATATACTTATAATCTCTATACAGAGAGCTGGTTTGTTTTTTTAAGCGAGTTAGCAAGATAATGAAGATATAATTGACAAAAAAAAAGGAGACATTTGTTATTATCAGCCATGGAATAAATGAAGCAGAAATATGGCCTGTGCAGTGAAGCTATCATGACCAAGATGAGAGCTGCATGCAGAGCATGTAGTCTTCTGTCATCTGCCGGATGAAAGGCTGGAGCTACGCGTCTCCCTTGTGAGTTCTCCAAATGGTCTAGGATAACAATGATCTCCCAAGAAATTAGCAGGCTCAACCGTTCGTCACGCACGCCCCACCAAAGCAACCCAACACGCAAAATGAACCGTCACTCTAGGTCTCAGCGTTACATAACAGGGGAACCGGTTCCTGTGACTGGATGAAGCACTCAGATCGCTGCTTTGTTGCTCTTTCAGAATACACAGAAACCAAAAAGAGCTGGTAATGTTCCGTTAAATTATCTATCATTATACCTGTTGTTAGAATTTTTATTTTCATACAATGGCTTTGGTTTTTAGGTTTTCTCCTGCATTTCTCAAAGAAAGATGATGGTTACAGAAATGACTTCACATTTGAAATTGAGGACAGTGATGAAACCTCCCAAATTACCTACAGCCTTTTCAAGAAATCACATCCATTTTTAAGATTGATGTTCTCTTTTAAATGGATTCCAGGGCTAAATTCAAGAAGATGATTCCATTAAAGCTGTATGGATTGGAGGTGGCATGGTGGTGTGGTGGTTAGCACCATCGCCTCACAGCAAGAGGGTTCTGGGTTTGAGTCCCTGGGGGAACCAGGGCCTTTCTGTGTGGAGTTTGAATGTTCTCCCTGTGTCTGTGTGGGTTTTCTCTAGGTTCTCTAGCCTTCTCCAACTAAGAAGCATGTTAAGTTGATTGGACATTCAAAATTGCCCTTGTGAGTGTGTGTGTTTTTTTGTCCTTGTGTGTCTCTGTGTGGCCCTGCGATGGACTGTTGGACCGTCCAGGGTGTACCCCGCCTCTCGCCCATTGATTACTGGAATAGGCCCCAGTCCCCCCGCGACCCCATTAGGGAATGAGCGGTTACGAAAATGGATGGAGCCTACATTAAGTTACAAGCTGCTTTTTGGCTTCATCATACAGATGCACCTGACACCTTGGTTTTTCATATCTCTGACTGCACCTGCAGTGGTCTTTTTCAATAGAAATGACAACATTTTTTTGCCGCACAGACTAAAAGGCTTTATCTTTATGCATGGTTTTTATTTATTGATGTCAGCATTTCTTGCGCTTTTTTTTGGTTTCATATTTTAAACCCCTTGCTTCATGGGAACAGCTTGACGGGTTGTTTACATTTTTGTGGTTGCTCTGATGTAAATCAAATTCCAAACCTATAGCAGTGTCTTTTCCTGTTTTGTTCTCCAGGCACTGTCTCATTGTATGCAGCAGGAAACCAGTGTAATTCCTTTGAAAGGAGTTCAGTCCCAAGGAATGTGAGTCATTCAGCATTCTGGACTTTAAATGAGCCATTACATCACTGTAGACTGGGGATTTCTTCATCCTTCTGCACCCTTCCTCTTTCAGCTCGGTTTACTTGAAATAATAACTGAAACTTATCCAAACAACACAACAGTTGCGCTGCTCTATTCTGGCTCAATGGAAAGTGTCTGTATATAATTAGGTCAATTTTCAGCTAAACTTTTTTAGTTGAAATAATGAATGTAAAAAGGGTGATAGAGAGCTGTGACAAGATGTGGATGTAGGAATGGAAGTGGCAGTGAACATAGTTTTAGCAAATGCCTTGGGCTACCCAGTGGGGCAAAAAAAGAGAGACTGTTGTAAAGTAGAAAGCTGGGGAGCTGTCAGTCACAAAGGGAGGTCTCAGGGCATCTTTGCAGCTTTGAAAATGCTCCAAGCGTGTTAGAAACTGCAGGAGAGTGGTAGCAAACAAATGTGTATAATTCTAAGATCCAAGGAGAGGTTGCTGCATTCCCTGGATGGAAAGGTTCTTTTTTTTCCCATCAAGCTAAGATGTGACCATGAAAAATCACATTTTAATCTCCTTTAAGTAATGTTTATTCTTTTACTCGACACGTTTCCATTTAGGCTTTCATGGAGAAAATGAGTCCTCACTTTTAAGGGTGAAACAGGCTATACTTCAAAGGATAGTCATAATAGCTCCGTAATTTCAGCAAAAGAAAAAGATGTGTTATCATTATCAATTTCTTCTACATTTGTGAAAAACGCACAATGTAGTTGATCTTAAAAGATCTATAAAATGCCTGCTAGGCTAGATTTAAACAGAAGACTGAAGCGGTGCTGCTAAAAGCGTATTGTGATTTAAAGTGGTGAAACACTTAGGTGTTGTCTTGGAGTCTCTGTAGTCTGAGCTGGAGCTGCACAGGATGTCGGGCTCTGACACGAAAAGTCCACTGATGCAACCCTCCCCTACCACCAGTAACCCACATCTGAGAGAGGCATTAGCCGTC